GCGATTTTTCTTCTTGCTTGACTCAGACGCGTCCGTGGCTGGTTTCTTCTCTCCCCCGGCCTTCGGTTTATCATTCTTGCGTCTTAGCGCGTCATCTGCGTGGGCGCATCGCTCAACAATTTCGAACAATCTCTGAGTAGTTGTGATGCGTCTTGTCGCCAACTCCTAGGTAGTATAGCGATCTCTGACACCAGATTTGAAGGCGCGAATTACAGAAGCGTCGGTGATTTTGGGGATTGTATTTCTGCACTCGTTGAAGCACCAAACATATTCCCTCAAGGATTCACCCGAGTCCTGTGTCAACGCGTGTAGGTCGTCCTCGATCGCGTGGCGCTCGTAGGTTCCTTGGAAGTTGGCGATGAACTGTTGCCACAGGTCTGCCCATGAGGAGATTGAGTAGGGCGGAAGATGCATCAGCCATGAACGTGCAGAGCCTTTTAACGCAGTTGGCAAATAATTCGCCAGCGTGTTGTCATCTGCTCCGGCAGCGTAGAGTACTGTGGAGTAGACTTGAAGGAACTCTTCTGGGTCGGTGCTCCCATCATACTTTTCTATTGCTCCAGGTCGGAATCTCTCAGGCCATCGGACATCACGTAGGGAACGACTGAAAGCCCTACACCCAGCGCTGGGGGTGGTGGGTTGTCGGCGATCGTGTGTCCTTCGTGGATGTCTGTCTGGTGATGAGGAAGACGAGGATGATGACGATGACGATGGGTCACTTGGTTCCGGCGTACGGTTACGAGGATATCGGCCTGGATCTCGAGAATCCTGTCATCGTCTCCCGCTGTTGTCTCGGCTCCGGTCTCCATCATTGTCGTCGTTATGGCGACGTCCTCGACCGGTATCGTCTGGCACCTGTCGTTCGCGATCGTTGTGATCGTGGTGGTTGTGGCGGTTATCATGGTCTCGGTCCTCGTTTGAGCGGTCTCCTTGATTTTCGTTATCATGGCGCTGTGAAGAGACATGACGTCGGGAACGATTCACGTTGTCTCGTGTGCGTCGTGTCTCTCGGCGGCCGTTGATGTGATCTCGGAGATCGTCAGTGCCACGAGGTGGAGGGGTAGCTCGCTGAGGCGATTCCCTCCGTTCCAGGTTTTCACCATTGGCATCGCGAGTTGGTGGCTGCTCTGGGTGTGCTGCGGCAGTGGCCTCTTCGAACGCGTTGCTGAGGTTGGTCACTGATTCCCGTAGTCGTTCTGTCCAACGCGCGAGATCGTCGTTCAGAACGGGATCGTAGGGGGTTTCCCTCAGTATAGCGTTGACGGCTCTGATGTGCTGGGCTGGAGTGGTCAATTGATTCTCCGCTTCTGCATTGGTGCGCACTGATGTGCCGACATCCTCGATAGCCAATACCTCTCGCGGCGCGCTTGTTGTCGATGATCCATAGTCTTCGAGAAGGTGCAAGACTGATGGTTCGTGAGAATCAATATCGATTACCCCAACAAATCGATCTGAAGTTGGCGTCGCTCCTCGTTCCTTGTCTTTATCCCTGATGGGGATGTGTGACTGTTGGACCTTAGGGGATGGCGCTTTCATGGCGCTAAGAAAGACCTTGCAGCTTGAGAGGTCGTGATTCTTTGTCTTGTGAATAGGACAATAGACATCACGAGTTGGAGAAATAAGCTGAATTCCACGCTCTTTGCAGGCGCGAATTTCAGCGCGGACGTTGAGGAAAACCCAGCAGGCTTGCAAAATGTGTTTCCTGGTTTTGTGGATAGGACACCAGGACCTTGTCGCTTCGGAAGTCATCTTCGTCGGCTCACAGTTCATGTCGGAACGACAAGGTTTGGCCGCATCAGAATCCTTCTCGAGCTCGGATGTCGTCGATGCTCCGTTCTCCGTCCCGGCGGGCGGATTTTTTGACATGGAGTCGCCTTGGTTTGTAGCCACTACGTTCTCGTTTCCGGTCATTGGCGGACCGGTTGAGATCGACATCGTGGCGTAAATCGGGAAGACGATTTCGCCGACTTGAGTCCACATCAGCATCGTTGAAGCAGGGAATACTTGGCTGAGGTTGGTGTTGACGCTGTTGTCGACGAGGCTGGATGACATAGTAGTAGAACCTTGAGTACCAAGTCCCCCTACCTGGCGCGCCACTGTCGACGGGTGGTACCCGTAGACCGGATATAGAGGGTATTGGGGTATGTTGGTACAAGGATCTACGTAATACGACATCAAGCAAACAAAAGACGAGGATTATACTGGTTCAGGCCCCTTGATAGGTAATAGCCTTAATCCAGTTGATATGGGATTATATGGTGGAAAACACAGGTTACAAAGGGAATAATGGAACTTGACGGATCCGGTGAGATCGTGGTCGAGTTGGTTCAACTAGATCCCGGCGATTTGGCTCCTTGCAGGCTCCGACTTCGTAGGCTGTGAGGGTTGTGTTGGCTCTGAGATTCGATGCCCCAGGTCCTCCTCGGGGGGTCCCTTTTATATCGCAGGTCAGGCGGTTTCCAAGTAGAACTCGGAGATAACAGACCCTATACGATACATTGATGACCCAGTCTTGTCCGAGTAAAACTCTTCCCCTCCGTAGACTTTGTGAAGGATTTCCTTAGTGTACGCGGGGAGTATCCGTATGCGCGTGGGTATGCCATACCGATATGTGACGTACATCAAAGGGTAAAGGGTATACCTAACCCGTAACCCTGACAACTATGTCTAACCAGCTTACTAACCCACTATGTGGCAAAACATGTACACCCCTTCAATTTTTTTATACTGCGTTGTACATAAAGAAAATAAATACTAGTAGTACTTCCATTTGTAGTATGTCCTTGAGGTTGGCATGCTATTTAGTGTTTTTTTTAACTTCCAATTCTAAGAAGCAATTGATTAGTAGCTAATTTTTGAGAATCTGAAATTAAAAAGCTGGGTTCTCTAGTCTTTAGCTTTTAATTTATTTTTTGCATTCTATAGCTATAGAATCTATGGTAAAATTTGTTTGGAGAGCTATAAAATTTATGTTAAAATATGTTTGAAGAGCTGAAGATTATAGAAGAAGTTATAGATACTAGAAACTTTCAAAACATGGCATTAGTTCCCAACTTTTTCTTGAAACTTCCAACTTTTTCATCACATCAAAACTTTCCTACACACAAACTTCTAACTTTTTTGTCACATCGTTCTAATTTCAATCAGACTTCCAATTTTGGCATGAACTAAACACACAACAATTCTATGTGACAAACTACATCTCCCTCTATCCAAAAATATATGCAATTTTGATCCGATATGACTCATCTCTTAGTACTAGGATACATCATATTTTAATACTTTTGGACAAGCTCCCCATCTAGATTCGTAGTACTAATATGTGTCATATCTGACAAAAATCCCTTATATTTTAGAACGGATGGAGTATTCAAAAATATCGTAGAAGTATTATCGTTAGTATAAATATAAGCGCTCACAACACATGCACATTCACCCCTATAAATGCACAAATGCACATCCTACCCTTATGAGCATATTCAGAAGACTCAACCGACATATCTTCATATTGATGAAGTCATAACAAGCGTCTCGATGTTGATAGATATGTCGTCTCTATCACTGAAAGAATAAATAGTCGTAAATACGAGTACCCTTATTAAGTCTAGAACTTAAATCCAAGTGAACTCGTTCCATCACAAAAGAACATAACCAATTAAACTACGCTCACTTCGGCTAACCAGCTTACTAACCCACTACGTGCAAAACATGTACACACCTTCAATTTTTTTATACAGCGTTGTACATAAAGAAAATGAATACTAGTAGTACTTCCATTTATAGTATGTCCTTGAGGTTGGCATGCTGTTTAAGTATTTTTTGGTGAACTTCCAATTCTAAGAAGCAATTGATTGCTAGCTAAATTTTGAGAATCTGAAATTAAAAAGTTAGGTTCTCTAGCCTCTAGCTTTTAATTTATTTTTTGCATTATGTAGCTATAGAATCTATGTTAAAATTTGTTTGGAGAGCTATAGAATTTATGTTAAAATATATTTTAAGAGCTGAAGATGAAGAAGTTATAGCTACTATAAACTTTCAAAACATGGCCTTTAGTTGTGGTGGTCGTTTAAGAGAATTCCTTTGACCTATATTGACAATAGTAGATTGTAATATATGCACTATTCAGATTGTAGCCAATATAAAACTTACTAAATTTAGGCAAGTTGACAAAATTAACAAAATTTTGGCAGGAATTCTTATGTATTTACCAAAGTTTGACAAAAAAAAAACTAAATGTATGCATATTTTTAACAACTTTATATAAAAAAAAGGTATGGCTTGAAATGACATCAATCTAAACAACCCCTTACATTGACAAAGGGTAAATTGTAATCTATGCAAGGTGAGGGATAGCCCTTTCTTCTTCTTTTTTTTTTTTACTTTATGACCTAAACAATATCACAACCTTTGTTATATTTTAAATTCTTGTCACGATATTTTTGTAATTATTTAAATTTGTATCAAAGAAAATGATATTCCCCCCGTTTCATAATGTAAGTCATTCTAGTATTGTCCACATTCATATATGTGTGTCTAGATTCATTAACATCTATATAAATATGGACAATGCATGAAACGGCGGAAGTATACAGTTTAACCTAATTCCACAGTAAGTCACTAGAACCTCAATTGCATTTAAGGCTTTAAGCCCAGCCCATCCACCTCCTACTGAATGCAATAGCCCAATGCATCATAGGCTTTCTTCTTTTTTTCCAGTACCATTATTATTACGATTTATTATTATTTTTCTCCCTCCCTATGTCGAGCAAGTTTGTGGAGTAACGTTAAAAAAAAGTTTGTAGAGTAACAAATATAAACTACATTGTCTCATGATTTTTCACACGTCATGTGCATTTATACGGGTGAATGTGCATATTTATGCAAAGCATCTGCTTATGTACCGTGTTTCTCGCAAACAAAAATGATCTTTTTTTTATCTCAATGATTTAAATTCCATATTAAGAAAAATTTGATATAATCAAATTCCACAGCGAACCGATATGTAACGGGAAAAAAAAAGGACATAAACGATGCAGGAAGCCCCTCTCTCTCTCCTGTTCCTCCTCTGCATGCGCTCCTTCCTCTTCGCGCACATCCCCCTCCCTCTCTCTCTCTCTCTCTCCTCTGCATCCGCGCGCATTGCTCGATCGGCGAGAGGGGAATCAATCCTGAAGTGAGGGAGGGGAGGAGGTGGTGGTGGTGGGGAAGGAATTAATCGATCGATCGAGGATGCAGCAGCAGATGGCGGCGACGGTGGAGGAGCAGATGATGGTGAAGGCGATCAGGGAGGAGCTCCCATGGGAGAGCCTCCCCAAGCGCATCCAGGCCGCCCTCGTCTCCAAGGACGACTGGCACCGCAGGTATAATATCTATCTACCCCGCATTCCATCCATCCGCGCATTAATCCCATTTCTGCTCGCAAGTTAATTTGTTCGGTTAGATTATGGGGATTTTTTTTCCTTTTCTTTTTTGCTTGGAGATTTTGGGACGCAATCTGGGGTGTTTAGGAATATGAATGGGCGAATGATCTGATTAAAGTATTTATATATAGGAATGTCAATTAAATTCTTCAAGTCATGTTCGTGGTTAATCAACCGAAATGTTCATTATCCTAATTCCTCAAATTATCCACTATCCGGGATTGTCACCGACTTGTGTAGCCCATGTGATGTCGCCTACCATTATCATCTGGGTTTGGCCTGTTAGTGTGAGTGGGCCTGGGTTATCAATGGTACAGTACCTTTGATGGAAGCCACACAGGGCCCAACTGCACCAATTCAGCCATCCAAGGTAGCACAAATGTGGAATGGCATAATCTTGTTAGATAACTCAGGACAATTATTTTTGGTTTCTGACCTAGTTTCAGGATTTTCAGAGTATTGTCTTGCATAATGCATTTGGGTGTTTCTTAAAGATGTATGCCTGATGAGTGATGACCAGCTTCCTAAATACATTGATGGCAGGATTGTAGATTATTGCATACGAAAACGATTGCCATGGACCTCCTGTTTCGCGCGCAAAATTTGCAAAGAGGGAGAATACTATGAGGAGTTGATGCGCTATCTCCGCAGGAACCTTGCAGTATGTTGCTCAAATTTCTCTCAATTAATTAGAACCAGCATTCAGAAGTAGTGGAGAAACACCTTTTGCATCTCTTTGTTTTCATACTTCAATTTGTGAAATGGTATGTTTTGACTGATTTCATATGCAATATACACTTGTTGTCATTTTTGTTAATAATTTTTTTCTTTGGGTTGTATTCATGCATACCTCCTGCAGCCATATTAACAATTTGTTCAACTAGCTAGGAAGTAATTGTATTAGTATGATTGACTAGTTTTTTTAGAAAGCTTTCATGACAGCTACATTTTGTTAAAATGTTTTCTTTGGGTTGTATCCTTGTATACCTCTTGTGCCCATACATTAACAATTTTTCAATTAACTAGGAAGTACCCCCTCCGTTTCATAATGTAAGCCATTCTAGCATTTCCCACATTTATATTGATGTTAATGAATCTAGACATATATATCTATCTAGATTCATTAACATCAATATGAATGTGGGAAATGCTAGAATGACTTACATTGTGAAACGGAGAAAGTAATTTTATTACTAGGCTTGACTACTTTTTCTAGAAAGCTTTCATGACTGCTACTTTTTATTAATTTTTTGTAGTTATACCCGTACCATCTTGCAGACCACATCTGTCGAGTAATGAGGATATCACCTTTCAAATATTACTGTGATGTGCTTTTTGAAGCTATGAAGAATGGTAACTGCTTATTAATAGAAAGCAAAGCATCTCAGGCCGTGTTTAGTTTCCCGCCTATTCCCAACTTTCCATCACATCATATCACATCAAAAACTTTCCTACACACATAAACTTCCAACTTTTTTCTAAACTCCCAACTTTCTTCAAACTTCCAACTTTTTTCAGGAACTAAACACACCCTCATTATAACATTCCACCTACTTGCATCACGTACTTGCTGATTGACATGCCGTTATGCAATGTCCACATTGACTCATTTTGAATTTTAGATACATATATTCTACCAGAAACAAAGCTCCATATGTGTGATGTAACATGCACCGCTGTTTCTGCATCAATATCTAAAATTCATCTATCCAAATAGTAGTTTTGATTTCTCACTCATAACTTATACTACTAAAAATGTTTCTGTTCACCTTGACAACTACGTAAGCTTGGCTATAGTTTCAGTTTCTACTTGATTGTGAATTTTAATCAGCTAAAAAGTTTATACTATTTAAAATGGTTTCAGTTTATTTATTTATTTATTTTTTAGAAAAGGTCATAGACCCGGCTTTTTATAGAAAGCCACATAGGCAGTGTTCCAGCTGGGGACACCAGCATACATCGTAGCATCAAGACATAGAAAAGCAGGAGCCAACAGGGGCTAGCAAAAGATCGTGACAACTCTACTTAGACCATCAGCTAGCAGATTAAAAAGCGGGAGAAAGAACCGTAGCTAAAGAGCCTATCAGTATGAATATCAAAGTCTGCTGTTCTAGCAGCCAGCCAACATCACTTATCAAAGGGACTCAAGACATCAGGAAACTATCCAACACCCGTCCTCTGCGGTTTCAGACTTGACGCAACTGACTTGATCCTATCCACCATTACTTCCAGCTTCGGCACATCCTCAGGTTGACAGAGCTTCCTCCACTGCAAAAGATTAGAAGCAATTTGGAAAGCCAGGGTTAGTGGGGAGTAAAGCAATCTATCTCTGAAAACCATATTATTTCTAGTCAGCCACAAATTCCAGCAAACAGCAGCAAGCATACTCATACAAACTCTAATGGAGGAAGGGTTAGTGTCACTACTGCACAAAAGGAAGAAATCATCGAAACAGCGAGGAATTACATTCCAGTTCAGAACATCTCTACAAATACACCACATTAACCTAGCCATGTCACAGTTAAAGAGAATATGATTAGTTGATTCTAAATTCCCACAGAGTTGACATGACTCAGATCCCTCCCGTTTTTTCTTTTTCAATTGTTCAGCCGACTGAATCCTATCTCTAAGAGCTAGCCATAGAAAATGTTTGATTTTCGTAGGGCATGGACTTTTCCACATATCTGAATTCACCTCCCTCAAGCCCCTAAAGGTCAGAGTTCTATACATCGATTTGGTTGTGTATCTCTTGGTTGTTGCTAATCCCCAAAGCAATCTGTCAGCCTCATCAGTCACCTCTAAATCATCAATGGTTTTTGTTAATTCCCCCCATTCAGTCAGTTCCTCAGGTCCAAAGGATCTTCCAAAAGAGAAGCACTCCAGTCTCCTTTGGGCTACATGGGACACCATCACCTCTTGTTGATTACAAATCCTAAACACAGCTGGGTACCTCACACTCAAGGGACAGTTGCAAAACCAGGTGTCTTTCCAAAAGTAGACATGAGACCCCTTACCAATTTTCCATTCAGCCCCCAGGTTCAACCACTTTCTAACATTGAGTAAGCCTCTCCAGAATTGGGAGCCAAAATCAGACTTACATTGAAACACACCTCTCTCTTGCAGATATTTTCTTCTGAGCACCTCTAAACACAAACTCTGATCATCTGATTCAATATTAATAATCCATTTTGCCAGGAGGGCAATATTCATCTTTCTGGTTTCAGTAAACCCCAAACCTCCAAAGTCCTTTGGAAAAGCCATATCCTCCCACTTGACCATATGGTATTTTCCTTTAAGTTTATTACCAGCCCAGTAGTATCTATTTCTTATCTTGTCAAATCTCTGATGTACACCCTCTGGTAGCTGGTAGAACCCCATAGCATATGAGGGTATGGAAGAAAGACAAGCATTGATCTGGACAGCTCTACCAGCATGAGATAGGTCTCCAGCCCCCCAAGTACCTAGTCTCTTTTCTAACTTCTGCCCCAAAAACTTGAAGTCATGGTTAAGGATCTTGTCTGGACTAATGGGAAGGCCCAAGTATTTCATAGGAAAACAACCCACAGGACAATTAAGCATTTGGGCAACCCTCAAAGTATCAATCTCATTCATGCCCAAAGTAAACACTTCACTCTTGTGAAAGTTGATCTTAAGACTAGCCATTTCTTCAAAGCAGTACAGAATAAATTTTGTTGCCACAATTTGTTTATCCTCATTAGCAATGAACAAAACAGTATCATCGGCATATTGGAGATGGGTGATCCCCCCAGGGAAAATACTAGGAACTAACCCTTTGAGAACTCCAGCCCTTTTGGCACTATCAAACATTACAGCTAGGGCATCACTAACTAAATTAAAGAGAAGGGGAGAAAGAGGATCTCCCTGCCTGAGGCCTCTAAAAGTTCTAAAAAAGTCAGTCCTCTCCCCATTGATATTTACACAGACTCTACCTCCCATCACACAGCTTTTAATCCAGCTAATCCATTTAGTAGGGAAGCCTTTCCTCTCCATCACCTCTATGAGAAAGTCCCACCTCACTTTGTCATATGCTTTTTCAAAGTCAATTTTCAAAACAATCCCCTCTAAATTTCTGGTTCTCATCTCATGCAGCACCTCATGGATAATAACACACCCCTCAAGGATAAACCTTCCTGGGATAAAGGCTGTCTGGGTGGGGGAAATGACATCATTTGCCACCTCTGTCAATCTATTGGTTACCGCCTTGCTGAGAAATTTGAAACAATCATTCAACACACAAATAGGTCTGAACTGCTTAATGTATGTGGGATTGCTACTCTTTGGGATCAGAGAGATAACACCAAAGTTCAACCTCTTAAGGTCCAGTTCTTCATTGTGAAGCAAAATCAGCATCTCATAGAGGTCATTTCTTACTTGGGGCCAAAAAGCTCTATAAAAAGGTACACTAAAACCATCTGGGCCAGGTGCTGTATTTAGCTTGGTTTCTCTAATTATTTTGTCTAATTCCTCAATCTCAAAGGGTCTGATCAGATGTTCACTAGCTGCATTTGATAAGCAAAAGTTATCTCTCCAAACCTCTTGGGAAAGATGAATATTAGAAGGAGGGTCAGCTCTAAATAAGGATTTATAGTATCCTACAATGTGGTCTTTGATTTCTGACTTAGTTGTTAGTTCTGTGTCTCCATCCCATAAGGAAGTAATAGTACATCTCCTCTTTCTTCCATTGGCAACCCTGTGAAAGAACTCTGTTTCTATCACCCTCAAGGATCCATTGTTCACCACATCTCTTATGCCAATAGAGTTCCTCCATCTCATAAATGTGTTCTAGTTCATTTTCCATCTCATATCTCTGATTCCAGTCCTCAGAGGATAACTCATCTGACAAAGCTTTCCTGATTAAAATGGTTTCAGTTTATACCATTTAAAATGGAGGAACCTTTTGTTCTCTTCACAATACGTTTCTGATTCTAGCTTGTAATATGTGGTACCTTTTGAGTTTATATATTGCATTTATTGATATATGGTTACTATACAACAATTTTACAATCCGTTTATCTTCATCATGGAGACTTATGTTTTGTGCGCACCTCTTTATATTTGTATATTGTTGATAATACTGGCAGAGCAACCATATGACAGTATTCCAAACTTCAGTGCTGCTGATTCCCTGAGGATCACAGGTGTTGGGAGAAATGAATTTATCGATATTATGAACAAGTGTAGATCAAAGGTATCATTACCTTCCATATCATGATCTGTCGTCTATGATATTATTGGTTCTTATATTCTTGCCAGGGTACAAGATTTAATTAGTGAATCCACGGGAATATTTTAGCATTATTACTGTGATGTAGGAATGGACTGTAATATTTGAATGCAGCACAAGTGCTTATCGTATGTTCAGAAAATGAACATATCTAGCCTAGTTTCTCGCTGTTATATTTTTATTTGTTCCACTCGTTTATGTCAGAAGATAATGTGGAAGCTGAGCAAATCAATTGCGAAAGAGCTGCTGCCAGCACTCCCTGCGGACCTAGCAATAGAACCATGGTGGGGAGTTCGGTTTGTCAACTTCACATTGGAAGAGTTTAAGGTTAGGTTCATCAGTGACAAGTTTTCTTTGTGCAAGGATATTGTACTTTTAACAGAATGATATAGCGAGTTTTTTTTTTTTGTGGTTCTCTTCTTACCATGATGGCATACAACAGTGTTAGTTAAACTTATTTCTCTCTAAGATTCAAAAGTACCTTGTTCTTTTTTGGTAATTGATAATATTACTTTACTGTAGAGGCTTTCAGAAGCAGAGGCATCAGCAATAGATAAAATATCAAAGGACGAAGATAATTCCTATGTTCTATTTGATCCGAAGGTTATAAATGGTCTTTACAAGAGAGGAATGGTATACTTCGATGTGGCTGTTTATCCTGAGGACCGTTTCAGAGGTATGGTTTCGGAGAAATCTATGTCATTACATACTTATGTATGATTTCTATTATTATGGTTTAGCATAAAATTGTTGGAGGATTGGCCTATAATTCAATGGCACAGTTGCTTCAAGCTTGTAACGGTAAACTGCTGATAAGTACAATATCAGTTAGAAACCTATAACATCCTTAGAGGCACTAACAGTGTGTGTATATTGAGGGTATTATTCTGTAGACACGAAACTACAACACAGCTCAATTCTCCCTAAATGCCAATTGGTTCAGTTCTGTACTTGTCCTGTTGTTTCAGTATCAAGGCTTGAAGGTTTTGTGTCAAATAAGGATCAGTCTTACGAAGATCCAATTGAAGAGTGAGTACTTGCCTTGAGTATTCTTCCACACAACTGAGCTCCATTCCCTATTAAACTATAGTGCATTGCAAGAATCATCTGTAGCTATTAAAATGATTTTACGCCTTTCTTGTTTGCAGACTACTATATGCTGTATTTGTTGTATCAAGTGAAAATGCTACAGTTGCTGAATTGGCTAAAACGTTGCAGGCTGACCTGTATCAGCTTCAGGCAGCTGCATCATTTGCTTGTCGACTGGGTTGGGCTGTAAAGCTTATGGATGCAGACTCCATTCTTAGAGATTCAAATGGATCTACAATACCTAGTAATATTCTTAGTGATGATGACGAAGGTTCACTTACGAGTATCAACTCAGAAAGGTCAGGTCATGCATTGCTCACCAGTGATTCCGATGGACCCAGGAGAATATCTGGGGCTTCTTATGTGGGTTTCATTGTTGATGCCAATGTAACTTCGTACTTGATGATGGGTTCATTATCTCCAGGTTATATTCCATTTGTTACTAATTTTCTACTTCTAGGCAGGGAACTGTTCAATGTCATTGATTGGTAATAATTTTCTCACATACGTATCACAGGTCTGAAGTCTCATGCTGTGACACTATACGAGGCCGGAAAGCTTGGTGATTCTTGCATTGCTGATCTATGCAAGGACCTTGCTAGTTTAGAAGGAAAGAGGTTTGAAGGTGTGCTCCAGGAATTTGCAAATCATGCTTTTAGCCTCAGATGCTTCCTTGAGTGTTTGCTGTCTGGAGGGACATCACCAGATGAAGCTATTGAACCGAACAGCCAGGAATTCTGCCTGCAGGAGAATTTCTCCAAAACTTTATCCAAGGAAAGCATTGATGAGGGCATTAGTAATGTTGTTAAGAGTAATGGAGGTTCACTTGAAACCGTCGACACTGCAGATACTGATCATCATAATGAACTGTCACAAGCAGACCACCCAATGGTTGACTCAGATGTTGCAGATGCGAGTACATCATCACCCTCAAGTATTGTCTCTGAAAGTAAGGAAAGCACAGACAAAAATGATTCTGATACGAGCAAAACCCCTCTACCAGATGGATCAACTGACAGTAGTTCCTTGTCGAAAACTAAAAGAAGTTACCGGATCAATATTCTTCGCTGCGAGAGCTTGGCTTCACTGTCCGCAACAACACTTGAAAGATTACTTGTCAGGGACTATGACATTATGGTGTCTATGATTCCTCTTCCATATTCATCAGTACTTCTACCCAGCACTGCCGGCCTAGTACATTTTGGTCCACCTTCTTACTCTTCCATGACACCTTGGATGAAGCTTGCACTGTATACATCTGGGAGTTGTGGCCCAGTATCTGCTGTGTTTATGAAAGGACACCGTTTGAGGATGCTGCCTGAACCATTAGCCAGCTGCGAAAAGGCGTTGATATGGTCTTGGGATCAATCTGTGGTGGGTGGATTAGGAGGAAAGTTCGAAGGGAATTTAGTAAAGGGAAGCCTTCTGCTGCATTACCTGAACTCAATGACAAAGCATTCTGCTGTTATAGTGCAGCCATTGAGCTTAAATGATCTTGATGAAACTGGAAACCTTGTCACCGTTGATGTCCCGTTACCCCTGAAAAATGCTGATGGGTCAATTGCATCCACAGTAGCCAGCATGGATTTACCTGAGGAGAAAATATTAAATTTGTCTTCGCTATTATATAATCTGTCCAGTAGAGTCGAGTTGGGCACAGTTGGTTATCTTAGTTTAGTTAGGCTTCACAGGATAAGCAAATCCAATGAAATTTTCTCAAAGGATGAAAATTATGAGTGGATACCTTTGAGCCTGGAATTTGGAATTCCACTGTTCAATCCAAAGTTATGTGAAAAAATATGCGAAAGGGTCATCGAGTCACACATGCTTCAAAAAGATGACCTCACTGAACATTACGAGGCAATGCAGAATGTGAGAAAGAGGCTGAGAGAACTTTGTGCTGAGTACCAAGCAACTGGTCCAACAGCAAGGCTATTCAATCAAAGGGGCAGTTCAAAGAACTCGCCGCGCCAACTAATCAACATTGTCAGTGGCAGATGGAGTCCATTTCATGACACAGTGGCGCCAACCACTGGAGGATCCCCCCGTGAGAATGACAGACTGAAAGTTGCAAGACGGCAGAAATGCTTCACTGAAGTTCTAAGCTTCGACGGGAGCATCCTCAGGTATGTTCTATACATAAAAAGAACTGCACCGCATAGTGTAGCGGTAAAGTGAATTAACCGTCCTTCCTCATCGGTTTAAACTTTTGGGTTGAACTGGCAGGTGTATCAGTATGCAACTCAATACATTGTTCTTGTGATGTATAGGTTAATATGATTCTTGTAATGTTAATTTTGCCACTGGATCATTCCATTCTAAATTTAAAACTCTAATAGGTCATACGCTCTCGCCCCTGTGTATGAAGCTGCCACAAGATCTGTCACTGAGGACCAACCCACCACACCTGTAGCAAAACCAGAACCGGATGATGCAGACACCAAAGATGTGGTCTTACCTGGAGTCAATCTTATATTTGATGGAGCTGAGATTCACCCTTTTGACATCGGCGCCTGCCTCCAAGCTCGTCAGCCTCTCTCGTTGATAGCTGAGGCGTCAGCGGCATCATTGGCCATGAAATGAGAGATCCATCCCTGGCTGCAACTTTGTCTTGTTCATATGTTTATTTATACAGAATTGGGTCTTGGATAGGACGCTTCTCAAAAGCAGGCAGTTTTTAAAGCTTGATGGGAAGATTTTGTCATGCCAAAGTGGTTTTTTTTTTCTCCTCCAAACAAGAAGTTTTCTGGATTATTTGTGATGAATGCCAGGTGAGGTTTTCTTACACAAATGAATCAGCTAATTTGCTGCGACATGACATGCTCTGTTGAGGTCTACTTGCATTAGGCAATAGCACGTTTTGATGCTTTCTGGTTGCATCCTTTGCTAGTTTCAAAAGTTGTTTTTTCTTATTCAAATTGGTATTTGTGAATAACTCAACTTTTTTCTGATTTGCAGACTAATGTTTGGAGGGATCACTTTAGATGTTTTTCTGTACTTAATTTTCCAACGTAGGATCCTAATTAACTGTATAGTTCATGGTAACAGGAATTGTGCACATTATCATTTGATATTGGTACGATAGAATACAGATATAATTTGCACAAAAAAGCAATCATGTATGGTCAATATGTAATTCTTGAAATCTGACTGCCGTGATCCATTTTTTTTTATCTGCTCAATCCTGCCACGTCCATTTTGCTCTCTTTAATTTTAAAACAAATAACGAGATGACTGCTTGCTAAAATCTCTCAATTGACGGTTTCCATCAATGCTTGAGAGTGTTTTTAATTACATGTTCCTAATTTATACTCCCTCATTTTTTTTTCACGTGCCCGCTTACCAAACTACTCAAAAATACTTTTTTTCGAAAAAAAAATCTAATAGAAAAGTTGCTTTAGAAATCATATTAATCTAAATTTTAAGTTTTTATAGCTAATATTTAATTGTTAATGCACTAATAAGCCAACCTATTTTACATGCGTGAGATAGAAGTTCATAACCTTCTCTCCCTCCCGAACACCACTATAAAAAGTAGACATCCAAGCCTACATGAGTTTATGAAATGGAGTTGTACTTTTTTTTTTTTAGAAACAGTACAAATATAGACGCTATGCTCACTTCGCCAGTAGTACCATTTCTTTGGGTGAAAGCTTAATGTATGCTTACCAGCACAATGTATACCTGGTTACCCTGTTACTTTGTGCTTGCCACCTGGTTATGTAAAATTGGAATGTAATTTTATAAGGTTGATTTGAGTAAAGCGACCTTTATTTGGTCTCCTTTGAAACACGGGAATCTTATAAAAAATAAAAATAAAAAATAGCAAAAATCTTCCATTTTAGTTGGACGTATAGATACCGAGTTGGCCTGCATTTGACAAACGATAAAAAAGATTACACCCATAGCTTTGATCCCATCCCGTGCAATTAAAATGTAGGAAAAAAACATAATTGCTAATCTTCTTTGATAGAAATTTAGAGTGAATTTCCTTCAAATTTTGTCACATGTTTGCTCTATCTGGTTAGATTTTTTTTAAAAAAAAAACAGCTTGGGCAAGTGGGCCTTCTATTTATCTCAGAAGAAACAAAGTACAAGTTGCCAAATGGTATATATGATTTGTATAGGTACATACTCTTATAACGGTAAATAGGCTTACTGCCATGTCAAGATATTCTCGCTAAATAGGCTTCAAAATTTCAGCAAGCGCGGAATATGTTGCATACTTGTTATATGAAACAACCATTCTACTCCCTCCGTTTAAAGTTACAAGACGTTTTGTCAAAGTCAAACTACTTTTAAGTTTAAACAAGTTTATAGAAAAAAGTAGTAATATTTTTAACCTAAGACAAATTTATTATGAAAATATATTCAATTATTAATTTGATGAAACTAATTTAGTATTATAAATATTACTATATTTGTCTATAAACTTAGTCAAACTTAAAATAGTTTAACTTTGACAAAAGTCAAAACGTCTTATAAACTGAAACGGAGGGAGTAACTAGTCAAGAAGGCTGCTATGGTCTTAGGTGTTGTTCATTTGATGATGCAACTTTGTGAAGGTTTCATTCCATACATCACAGTGACCGAGCACTCCAAAATCAGATGTTTAGCGATTTTCAAATTCTTCATGCACAGCTAATAGGAATAGTTATTTGGCCACTGGCCCCTCACATGCTTGGGTTTCGTGGGCCGTCAGAACAAAGTCATCTCAATCGGGCCTAAATTAACATTGTTATAGATGTACTCGTACATACATAATCGAGGTGTATATACCTATAACCTGTCACCGATGACACTCATCTGTGACGGGCACACTGTTAGATCCGATTGAAATTACCTCCTATATCTCAATCGGGCCCAACTACTAAGCCCGTCAGCGATGAAGAACATTGGTGATAGGCTCCAAATAAGGCCCGATTGAGATGAGGTTAACGCCCGTCACCGATGATTCATATCGGTGACAGGCTTTTATTTATGCCCGTTAGAAATCTCGTTTCTTTGGACCGATTGAGATATATTTTGCACACTATAAATACTCCACCTGTCTGTTGTCTGACTCCCACAGTTCACTATTTTTGTGGGAGATTGAAGGGAGCGAATTTTTATCATTTTTTTTCCAAAGAAAAGCAGGAAAATCATGAAAATAAGTAAAAAGTTACTAATAATTTCTTATTAATTTAGTAGTACTTATTTTATAAGATGTTAACTAATATTTTGTTCATTTTTGCAGCGGTGGATCGAAGTTAGATGTATGCGACTACTTTGAAGCGTCATTGCAAGTAGTATAGAAATGGCGCATTAAGTTTTATGAACGCTGCGGAGGAGGATAGGAAAAGAAGAAACAACAAATGCATGTGTTATCCATGTAGAGATTGCAAGAATGAGAATATGTTTGAAAGCAGAATGGACGTACACTCTCACTTCATACAACGGGGGAATTCATGAAGGGATACACATGTTGGGTGAAGTATGGAGAGTAAAAATCGGGAAGTGGTGTAGTTGCAGACAAGTGGTGCAGACAATCATGAAGAAGGAGATGAAGATGAGCATGGCATGTTTATACCATCTCCATTGGGCGGTGAAATGGTTAATGTAGACCCTGATCTGCTGCAAGACATGTTACGTGACGTCGAGGACCCAACTTACAACGAGAGAGATTCCACGAAGTTCAGCAGGTTGGTTAGTGACTCGGAGACACCTCTATACACCAGATGCAAGCCAAAAACATACCAAATTGTCAGCTACCTTGAACCTAATGAAGCTGAAGGCAAGTAGTGGATGGGCATACAAGAGTTTTACAGAACTTTTGGGAATATTGAAGGCCATGCTTCTTGAAGAGATCACATTGCCCGAGACGACATATGAAGCAAAGCAAGTTCGTGTCCCCTGAGGTTAGAGGTCCGTAGAATTCACGCTTGTCCATACGACTACATATTGTACCACAAACAATATGCGGACTTAGATGTTTGTCTTGTCTACAAGGCTTCTTGATACAAGCTAAAGAAAAGTGTGGGGGAGGGAAAGAAGTCGAAGCGAGGTGGTCCGGCGAAGGTTGTGTTGTATCTTCTCATCATTGATCGTTTCAAGAGAATATTTGCCAACCCCAAGGAAGCAAAGTTAGTATGTTGGCATGCCACAGAGAGAAGGAACAACGGTTTGCTAAGACACCCTGCGGATTCGATTCAATGGAGGAATATCGATCAAAAGCACAAAGACTTTGCTGCCGACCTCAGAAACATGAGGATATGTTTGTGTACGGATGGCATGAATCCTTTTAGAGACATGAGCAGTTCTCACAATACTTGGCCAGTTCTTATTGCGAACTATAACCTCCCGCCATGGTTGTGCTTCAAAAGGAAATATATTATGTTGTGCTTATTAATCCAAGGTCCGAGGCAACCCGGCAATGATATCGATGTGTTCTTGGAGCCTGTTATCAATGATCTTGAGATTCTCTAGAAAGAAGGTGTGGAAACTTGGGATGCATATGGTCAGGAGAACTTCAAGCTACAAGTTCTATTGTTATGCACCATTAATGATTATCCCGCACTGGGTAATCTTTCTGGATAAACCGTGAAAGGAAAGAAGGCTTGCTATGACTGTATGGAACATACACGCAGTACATGTTGACATAATCATCCATGACGGGCAGTTTTAAAATGCCCGAAAGAGATATAGTCATCTGTGGGCTCTAAATAAAGATTGATAGAGATATAGTCATCTGTGGGCTCTAAATAAAGATTGATAGAGATATAGTCATCTGTGACGGGCTCTTGGTGTAAGCCCGATAGAGATAAGTCATCCAAACCGGGACTATTTTGACTCAACAGGTAGGTCAAAACTATCGGTGACGGGCTGTTCCTTAAGGCCTGATTGAGATGATTAGTCATCCATGACGGGCTCCTACCTAACCTGGTTTGACTCGTATTGCTTGGTCAATCTTATCTGTGACGGGCTTTGTTGTTGGCCCGATTGAGATAACATCCATCCGTGATGGCCTGGTGCCCGATTGAGATATTTTCTCACACCAGTGACATTTGCTTAGTGGCGGGGGCCTTACCCGAAAGAGATGAGGCTTGAAGCCCGTTAGAGATAACCGATCCCGTGCTAGTGAACAATGTTCACCTAAGCCATAGTCTAGACAGTCTAGACCGTGTCTAGATGCTAGACAAACGGTTCTCGTCCATTTTAGAAGTTAAATTGCGAATTAGACTATTTAACCATCTAGTCAGTCAAAAACGGTCCTATACTAACTAGACCACACAATTAGAAAACATTGGGATCAGTGTAAACTGTAAAACTATCATTTAGACTATGGTTTAGGAAATGGACCAATGCATTTTTTGTGTGGCACGAGATGAAACTTTGTACCCTGCTCAACGCCCATGTGGCTTAGGGTTTTGACCCATTCCAAACGTTTCTCCTCTGCTCTAAGGTACTCACTGCCATAGATAGTTTCATCGTCTCCTTTGCTGATAATTTGTCACTGCCATAGGTAGTTTCATCGTCTCCTTTGCTGATAATTTGTCACCGTCGACTTTGCTCCAACCTAGACCATGGGTCATTGTTCATCTGGCATCTAGCATCTACGTGAATACCGAATATAAACCAAACAAATATCTTGCACTTGGTAGGTATTCATGTTCTCTAAGTTTGACTGCATGATGCCACCTCAATTATTCTACTAAATTGTATTTCATATGCTGACTTTGCACTATATTCTCATGGTTGTCCACTTCCATCTTATTGTGTCTTTAGTTTCTTTCGACGGCTGTAAGTTGGGCGTGCCAACACGCCATGTAACAAAGTATTCCTCGAGAAGGGCAGACGTCATATTGTGTCATATGTCTTCAACCCATTGCTAATTGCATAAGGCCTCAACTATTCTCTTCTTTCGGTGAGAGTGGTTGTATGGGTTCGGCTCAATATTTGTCCTTTCGGTGAGAGTGGTTGTATGGGTTCGGCTCAATATTTGTCCTTTAATTCATCTTGACTAAAAAACTTGCCACCGATTAGATTCATATACTCCCTCCGGGCTGATAATACTTGTCGTTTTAAATAAGGGTGAGGTCAAACTTTAAAATCTTTGATTATGAATCATTTTTAAAATATTTGTCTTTAGTTACATTTTAGTAGTACTAGATTCGTAGTACTAGGTGGTATCACGTCCCATACTAAGTAGCTACATTTTAGGATGGAGGAAGTATATGATAAATATCATGCCTGCAATTCTTTTATAAACTTCTGTTGGAGGGATCCATCTCTTCTATTTGATAGAATGTATATGTTTTGATTCAACAAGTTACAAGTCATATAAGTATTTTTTAGAGTATGGAGCTGTAAAATGGCATGAAGTATTGGCAAGAAGCAACAGCTAGAACAGCGGTTGGAAAGCAATGACCAGCTCCCTTTTATAATTGTTTTTTTGTCAGAAACACTGTAGTTTAACTCTTCTTTATTGATTGTACCTGTGTAATTAGGTTCTACTTCTTCCGTTTCACAATGTAAGTCATTCTAACATTTTCCACATTCATATTAATGAATCTAGATGACATTACTATGAATGTGGAAAATGCTGAATAACTTATATTGTGAAACGAAGGAAGTAACTACTTATGACTCTTAGAGCAAGGATAATAATAGAGCTCACTTCCTACTATTAGCCAATCTTAAAGCCAACATATATAATAGATTAGCTATAAGGTTGGCTATAATTTTCTTCTCCTCTCTATATCTCTTACTTATACATTAATTGTATTTGTTTTGAAGCTTGTGTTAAGCTAGCTCTGGTATGAAAGCCAACACCCTTAACTTTTTGTCACATCTCTTCTCCACATAAACTTATAGTAGGCATATAGCTCATTATACTTGCTCTTACTGTATTGTTATCGGGTTAAAAGAAAAAAGAGTATCTAATGCTACTTATACCCGCTAAACACAACATTGCGGATGCCTTAGGTATTTACAGCAAAGCACCGAAAAAGGATTTTACATTTTTACAGCGGAACAGTGGAAGACGGGAGGGAGGAAGGGGAACACCAAAATTCCACCGACGCAGTGGCAGGATCCCCGTCCATGGCCGTTAAGCCCAAACCCACCACCTACCTCCTCCTCCTCCCCTCCTCCTCCTCCTCCGCCGCCGCCGCCGTCCATGGAGACCTCCAAGTCGCCGCCGCCGCCGCCCTTCTCCCCGCCGCGGCAACCCGGGCCGGCGACGGTGCTCCTGTGCCCGTGCGCGACGCTCCTCCTCCTCGCCCTCATCGCCTCCTCCATCGCCCTCACCGTCTACTTCCGCCTCTACTGCCACTCCCCCATCGCCCACCTCCTCGCCCCTCACCGCTGCCCCCACCGCATCTGACCTCCGCCGCCGCCGCCGCCTCGCTCCCTCTGCTCTCGCCGCTGGCATGTGGGGCGAGGTGCGTTTCCACCTGCTCGGCATCCGACGGCGACGAGGTGGAGGGGGAGGGGGAGGGGGGCTCGCCGGCGCATGCGGACTCGAGCCACCCGGAGCACGTGGGGCGGGTGTGCGCGGCCATCGCGGACGTCGTCGCGGCGGGCGCGGGCGCGGGCGCTGACGCGAGCCTCGAGGCGGCGCTCACCGCGCTCTCGCCGCCGCTCTCCGAGACGCTCGTCCTGGCGGTGCTCGACCGCTTCAAGCACGCGCACAGGCCGTCCCACCGCTTCTTCCGGTGGGCCGCCGCCGCCGCCGCCGCCTCCGGCGGCTTCGCGCACACCACCATCACGTACTGCAAGATGGTCCACATCCTCGGCAAGGCGAGGCAGTTCCAGTCGATGGTGGCGTTGATCCAAGAGATGGGGAAGGAGGGCGCCCTCTGCATGGACGCGTTCAAGATCGCCATCAAGTCGTTTGCTGCTGCCGGTGAGATCAAGAATGCGGTCGGCGTGTTTGAGATGATGAGGACGCACGGCTTCGACGATGGGGTGGAGTCCTTCAATTGCTTGCTAGTTGCTTTGGCGCAGGAGGGGCTGGGGAGGGAGGCTAATCAGGTGTTCGACAGAATGCGTGACCGCTACGCTCCAGACCTACGGTCGTATACCGCGCTGATGCTGGCATGGTGCAACGCGAGGAATCTGGTGGAGGCTGGGCGGGTTTGGAATGAGATGCTGGAGAATGGGTTGAAGCCTGATGTTGTCGTGCACAATACGATGATTGAGGGGTTGCTACGCGGGCAGAGGCGGCCCGAGGCTGTGAAGATGTTTGAGCTCATGAAGGCAAAGGGGCCTGCTCCAAATGTGTGGACGTATACAATGTTGATTCGGGACCACTGTAAGCGAGGAAAGATGGACATGGCAATGCGGTGCTTCGAGGAGATGCAGGATGTTGGGTGCCAGCCGGATGTCGCCACCTATACATGCTTGCTTGTGGGATATGGGAATGCAAAGAGGATGGATAGAGTGACAGCCCTATTGGAGGAAATGACTCAAAAGGGGTGCCCTCCTGATGGACGGACATACAATGCTCTCATTAAGCTACTTACGAATAGGAATATGCCAGATGATGCGGCAAGAATATATAAAAAGATGATAAAGAAGGGACTTGAGCCTACGATCCATACATACAACATGATGATGAAGTCATATTTCCTTGGCGGGAGGAACTACATGATGGGTTGTGCGGTGTGGGAGGAGATGCACCGGAAGGGGATTTGTCCAGATGTGAACTCTTACACAGTGTTTATTAATGGGCATATACGACATGGTAGACCTGAGGAGGCATGTAAATACATTGAAGAGATGATCCAAAAAGGGATGAAGACTCCACAGATAGACTACAATAAGTTTGCTGCAGATTTCTCCAAGGCTGGGAAGCCTGACATATTGTATGAATTGGCTCAGAAGGTGAAGTTTACAGGTAAATTTGATGCGTCTAATGTGTTCCACCAGTGGGCAGAGAGAATGAAAAAACGTGTCAAGAGGAATGTCCCTAATCAGACTGAGAGCAGGACGTTCTAAGATTACCATTTGCCAGCAGAAATGTGGATCTCTTTGATGGTGGCTGAAATTTGAGGTGTTGCTCCTGCTTTTTAGGAGAAAGGTGCTAGTTGTTTTCTGTGTTGTATAGTAATGGTCCATGAAATATTAGTGTGTTTTCATGTGTGAACAAAATGATTCAGTTAATTATGATGTAGCCTATGGTAGTTTTATTTTAGTTCAGTCATGTGTTACGCTAAATCTTCATTCAGGAGTGCCTCTTCCATTTCTCTCTTGTTCCGTTAGTATATCTCAATAACTCATTATGCTGGATTATGCATCGTACCATGGCTTAGTCTGTCAGCCATATCGTTGAATTCAAGTATGTTGAGGTGCTTATGATTAAGCAATGCTGATGTGTACTCCCTCTATCCTAAAATAAACCAACCTAGATTGGGATGGGACATAACCTAGTACAACGAATCTGGATAGAGACATGTCTAGATTTGTTGTACTAGATTATATTCCATCCCAACCTAGGTTAGTTTATTTTGGGACGGACGGAGTAGGTTCTAAGGATGAAGATAGCCGGAACTTACGAGCCGCAACTCTGTGGTTCCATCCAGCAATTTATACTGCCTTTAGTTTGTAGTTAGCAAATCTCAATTGCGTCCAAATATTTTGTGTTCTTAATTCTGAAAGAAAGCTGTATATTAAGATTTATTTTGTTTCTCAAAATTGACCAATTTCCCTGCTTTGGGATCCTAATTCATTGGTAATTCTGCAGAGTAGAGCAAGTGCAGGACCAGGTTTTTTTGTGGTCAATGGCACTATACCCGTATGAGGCATCTTGCTTTTTTTTCTCTTTTTTGACTAGCAGCAGAGCTATCTATATTGTAGAAATAGGAATGGCATTGTTCTGCAGTTGTTAGTTTTGGTCTTGACTGCAATTTGAGATGTGGTCGTAGCAAAGTTGCTAAGGTTTATTTTGCCTATGCTATCTCGCAGCAGCTATGAGCCTATGCAGATTTATTCCATGTGGTCCATGTTTGTTGATCTCTATTCTAGTTTAAAGGTGATTTGAGCTCTGTTGCAGTTTACTAATATGATCATTCCTCTTACTCCTGTGAGCTGAATCTTGTGATCTTGTCTACTTCATTGTCTGTCACTTGTCAGAAATTCCTATCAAAATACTGTAGAATGGCATTCTTTAGTATATGTCTATATACAAAGCGAATCACCCCACAACAAACCTAGTCTGGTTAGATGAGAGCTATTGCACCAGTCTTCACTGTCAATTGTTAAGATGTCACATGTTTGGTCCTGTTTATAGCTCATGCCTTTCTTGAGATTCTTAAAAACAATAAATGTTTGTTCCATACCACACTTCAACTTCTAAGTACTTTTGCATCATTACTCACTTGTTTGAGAGGTAGGCATGTTCTGTGTCTTATTCAAAAGGCTACTTGTTTTAGTGTTATGTAGTATGACTAAGTTCCTTGTTTGGTATCTTTATGTTCAATAGATCAATTATCTGGCTGTTTGTTCGCTTCGTTGCTATGCCATTGCATAAACAAAGGACCCAACATTGCCATATGTTTACAATTGGGGATAGATTTGTCAATTTTACTAAAAATGTTGTGTGTATTACAGTTTGCTGATCTGTTCACATGTGATCAAAGATTTAGCTCTGTTTCTGTGGTTCTTTAACATGGAGTTGTCTTGTTGTGCCTTTCAACATTAGATGTGCACTGGTTCCGTCCTTTACTAAATGCTATTACAAATATGATTTGCGTGTCTAATTGTAGATATTTCACTGCTTATGAAAACTGCAAGCTCAGTACGTTGTAATTATTTGCCACATTTGTTTTATAAATCTGTTCCGTTGTATTATTGTGTTCCTTATCTGGCTTTATATGTCTCAGACTTTTCTACTGTCCCACAGCACATGGGAGACCTTTCTGTCTATCATGTGGTGCTTGATTCTAACTTGGCACTTGGTTGGTAAGAGTCAAGGTAATGTACAGTATTCAGTTAGCTAGCTCCTCTTAGTACTGTTACACCAAACATGAGCAATGCTCTTTGATTCTATTGTACTTTTCTGTTTGGTGAATTTAATTTATTCTGATTCCTACTGTCCTGATTTAAATTTAAACCTGACAGATATAACATGCTCACATTTCAACTTTTGTGATGCATGTGTTAGTATTTTTTTTTTAGCTTTTACTCTTTGATTAATCTTTCAAGGACATTTGGTATGCAGGATAGAAAGAAAATAAAATAGTAATAATGCCATGAATCTAGCCTTTAGATTTATTCAGCTTAAAACTGAATGCTCTTGTCCTAATATTTCCTGAATTAAATTTACGTATGCGTTTTTTCAAGGAAAACTGCATCAGGTTGAAATTGACTTATTTGGTATAATGGGCATTATTTTAGTTCTTTGATGGTCCCTTGTACAGACAGTATATACGTTTGTTTTAAAGAAAATAAACACACCTGGTAACTGAAATATAATCTGGATTAGTGTAATGGATTTCTCATATTAATTTATATCAAGATAATGGGACAGCATCCATTCAGGATATCGGATTGCTCTGGCTTCTCAAATCTAGCTGAGATTTTACGAAAGACGCATGAATTGAATCCTGCTTGTCTCATGACTGATGCAACCTGTTTCTTTCAAGTGTCATGTGTGGGTGCCTTTTCAATCTGATCATATCTTGGGCTTCTCCAACTGCCAGTGGTAAAATTATCTTTTAGATTGGATGAACAAGATTAGGTACTTTATTTTCTCAATTTTATCTTAGTTCTGTTAGTGTGTTAGCTTAGTTTTCTGTAAATGCTGGGTTTATACCATCTTGACACCAATACTTGGTCATGACAAACAAATTAAGAAAAAAGAAAAAAGAAAAAAATAGTCTTTTTCTTTTGTTGCAATCTTCACTTATTTGAACCTTCATTCATATTTGAGGCGTCCATGGCACTGGTAAGTCGAAACTGTATCAGACTGCAGATTCATGGTTTTTACTATGCTATCTACAAATATACTAAAATTTTACAAATGTTGAACATATTCCCCTCAACACATATTGCACATTCCTGTGACCTTCCAATGTAGAAGCATTTAAGTTCATTTGTTCAGTGAACATTAATTACAAGCTGCTGGTGCTGCTCCTGGCCACTCATACTGTGCAAGTTTGATGCGTTTCTTCTCCGTTGATCCTGCAGAAACAGAGGAAGAGAAGGTATCATGACTGCGGACTATTATGCTCCTATAAGCCATTGAGCAGAAGTCAGTCAAGACTAACCTGAAGCAGCTGCAACCGAAACTGTCGTTGGCCCTGCTGAATCATGCGGACCATCCGCATGATAGCATAGAACGGCAACAAGATTCCAGCAGCCCGAAGTAAGAATATCTGCAATGCAACATTCCCCAGTTAGTTAATTTCAATTGATTAGTTTACTCCTCTGTTGAGATAGTGAACTCACTGTGACAAGGCTGAATGCACAGTGATCCGCCGCTTCAATTGTCACCACTGCAATGAGATGCCACACCAGCAGCATAATGGTGAACTGCACAAGAATCACAGATGATATCAGAATCCAGGAGACACCCTGAACGGCCTGCCAGACAATGGACAATTTCGCTTCAGCTGTCTCATACCGTTATCGTCAATGATCGGCACCATGAGGAGCAGTCTCCATTACCCGTCTGCGCCTCGGATCCTGCATACTGCTCCTGATCCTCCTGAGAGAGTTCCTCAGGGAGCATCTCCTCGTCTCTGCAAAAGAAGGCTCTGCATCAGGCAGTGTACCGAGTTGGCACATGTGTCCCCCATCTAATCCGATCTGGTGGTTGCAACTGCTGAAACCTTGCAGCAAGATGCAACCCCGGGTGATGATGTGAGTGTGACTAAGGTGGCCACGTTAGCTGGAATGCTGGATGGCCGGGAAGGTGGATTTGTGCATTGACACCGTGTGATTTGGACGCACGCTCTTGACAGGACGCCTCACCGATGCATCCACAGCTCATACTTCACGGTTTGATTTGGCTGTCTATCTGGTCATTTTTGGCATGATGCCCTATTGTACATTTTTGTTCAGATAATGGCATTTCACACAGCCTAACGCAATTGGTCAGTGTAGTTCTGTGTGGAAATGTTGCCAGCTGAAGCTTCTTTTTTTTTTCTCTCTTTTTATATTTTGTTGTGATGGTTCTGTGTGAAAACTGAGCTGCAGCTTTATCTCTGTAATCTCATTGGAGAACCACTAATCAGGCCAATGTAATATGCCAAGATGCATTACTGCATTTCTTGTCTTGTATTATTGATAGATCTTAACATCTTAAGAGCTGTCACCGTGTCATTGTGGTCCCTAGTTTGGAAGGTATACTTGCCTTGTTGGTTGGGTCCTGTGGCTTATCTAGGACATCTTGGGGGATCTACCTGAGTGGCCATCTTAACATTAATAAATGGCTACACAGATCATCTCATCAACCACTGGTTGTTAGTATGCTAATCCTGTCTCTCATTGCATGATTGGTTGGTTCCTTGGTTGAAAACAGAGTGTTACCTACTGATTTAAGACTCCGTTTAAGGGCATGTACAGTGCTACATTACTGGTGTTGACAGTTCACAGTTGCATGATACTACTAGCCAGATAGGCTTAGATTAGAAACACCTTATCCTAAGAGCATTATCTTAATGATCTTTTCCTATCAGAAATTGACAATGCAAGAGATGGAGGAGGTACCTGACAGTGACTGCCGTTTCAACAACCTGCACTTTCTTGGGAGGGATGGTGTAATCTGACTCAAAATTCTGTCAAGAAAAGCATCTTGTATTATTAAAAAAACAGGATTATGCATGAAAAATCTTTCAGAATGTCTTATTTAGGCGGCTAGTGTAATAGTTTATGAAAGGTTGGCAGAAGTTTACATTTTGCACAAGAAAAGTGCACTTTGCTTATGATTAGAAGCATTAGCTAACTTTCTTTTAACCCCAAAGAAATCTGTTACTTTATCCTCTAAACATAATGTTGCACAGCTACACATAATTACAAATCATAAATAAACAAGAAAAAAGGAGCTAGCTGTTTGGCACCTTTCCTGCACAAATTTCACCTTTCTAGCTAACCCCAATAAAAGTGGCTAGCTGTTTCACATTATACACGAATAGGTCATATGGTACACTAATGATCAAACACAAACTTTCACAAAGAAGAGTCTACCTGGAGGCAAATCTCACAGAGTGTGCTCCCCTTCTCATCACACCACCTCTGCACACATCCCCTGTGAGCATACTGCACATGCACAAATTAACAAACACAAACCATAAACACATCATTTTAGCCACTAACAAACTAGTAAATTAATCATCACAAGAACCATATCATGCATGTAACAACTACAAGAAATGCAGGGAAGGATCATGGATGGATGATCACTTGATCAGCTTGTAACTTTGTACCTACCTTGAGAGAGCCAGAGCATCCACAGGGGGACTCAATTGCAGCGCACCACTCATCCTCCTCCTCATGGCAAATCCTGCACTGCCTCAGCAGCGAGGACGAGGACGATGACGAAGACGAAGAAGAAAACGAAGGAGAAGAGGGTTCAGAAGAGGAAGAGGAAGAAGAAAGCTCATGCTGTTCCATCACTTCCTCTCCTCCTCAATTCCTTCCAATACCTTGCTTTCTTGGCTGCTCAATAAGATATGCTCTGCTGCTGCTTTCTCTCACCCTCTCCCTCTTTTCTCCATGGCGACCAATGGTGGTGTTTATATATGGCAGAGAATAACACCAAATGCAAGCAGTCACCTCATGGAAAGAGGAAAATCCAAGTGACTGTGTCATGGGGCCCACCAGCTACTAGTCTATCGGCCTGTTTGGGGGAGCTTTAGATTCTGAGAAGCAGCTGTTTGATAGTCAGCTTCTGAGAATCTAAAAAAACTCTGAAACCCAGCTTCTCCAGCTTCTGGCTTCTTAGTTCATTTTTCAGAATTTGTAACTACAGATTCTTAGAAGTGTGGACTGTTTAGGGCAGCTTCTAGCAGAAGCATCTTTTGGGAAAAACTGCAACTGGGACAAGCTCCCCCAAATAGGGCCTATTACTACTACCAACCATTTGTTAAAGAAAAAGATAAAACCTTTCATTTTGTTCCTAACTACTGTCACCTTTTGTCATCTGGTATTCTCATCTGCCATTTATCATGAGCCTAACTAATGCACGTTCGCCTTGCTCGTTAGGCGCGTAATCTTTGGCTTTCAGGATAAATATTTTGTATTTATATATATATTTCCAGCTGGTGGATAACTATTTTATCTTTAATTTCTTTTTTTGTTTACTTGAGACGCCTCAATACCTAACTAATAAAAAAGGAGTCAATGAAAGAAGACAATGAAAGAGCCAGTAACGGTCGCAATAATCACTAGAATGCCACCTCATGACATGATGAAACGGCAGAGATAAGATAATCCACTCATCCTTTTGAGCACAAGCATTCCCCTTTTGCAAATGCTTTTGTTTCCCTTTTTCCTTTCCCACTTACATGGAATTGCAAATATTCTTTTAGGACTTTTCCTAATGTGTTCTTTCCCTCAGTGTCTATAAACCGACAAAAGGTGTAATATATATACTCCCGTAGTCCTAAATATACTTTTATCGTTAATTTTTTCCCTTAAAATATAGTTATTTCTTCACAGATTTATTATGACAGCAAAAGTATGTATTTGTCAACAATTCTGCGAAGTGAGTTGCAAAATACTCTATGATAATGCATTAGCTGGAATTTTGTTCATATCTTTTAAGGTAATTTGGGTTAATTGATTTTTCAGGTGGTCTTTGTTAAATGCGATTCCCTAAATCTAGTGGAATTGTTGTAAATGGTCCATCTGGGTCATCGCTCAGAAAATAGAAGTGGTCCTGGGACAAATTGAGGAGATTGGGTAGGAATTTGCATAGCTGTAAACTTTCATTCGTTCCTGTTCTTGTAATGAGACGGCTCTCATTTATTTGCAAAGCAAGCCTAGAGCGATGGACAATGGTCTAGTTGGTTAATTAAACCAGAGCAGAGTTCACAGAACCGATGAAAACCGCTTGATATTCGTTAGTTTCCAGATGATTCACTCCGGCTCAAATCTAGAAAGCGCCAGGTAAACCGGTCTGTTCAAAAAATTTCAAAACTTTTGGTGAAATGTGTTCAAATTTCACTGGATTTCGCCAGTTTTCCAGTGGTATAATCTCATCAAACAATTGTGAAGCCATGCCCATATGGATAAGACAGACAATGAAGAGCTCCCTTATTTATTCCGCAACAGAAAAAAAAAAGAGGGCAAATTCCAGAAAACCTCATGTTTTACACTACTTTACATTTGAAAGTTTTTCACCCAAAAAACTTGCAAACGTTTATTAGATAGTCTCTTTTCTGAAATTTACTTTAAAAAAACAAGGAGAAGAAGAAGAACGGGCCGGACATGGGCTGCGAAGACCAGCTCCAAATCGGTGCTGCTTCTGGGCCTAGCCAGGCCGACGGTCTCTGATATGATCAGCTTTGGATCGGAAGTTGCTAGGTTGGGCCAAGTTGATCGAGGGTGCTTTCTAGACCTCTTCCATGGACCTTTTCTATTTCACGGTGAAATTGAACCATTTTTCATAGTTCTTTCTTCTTTCTTTTTTAAGTCGTGGCAAAATTTCGAAGTGCAACTTAAAAGTTCACAGTAAACAAGTACAATCATCTAGGGGTGACTCAAAACTTTCTATTCGCTCAAACTCGAGGTCTTTTTTTAATTTTTTGGACGAATGCACTCGGGTTCTAAACAAGCCGAATTGAGCTGTCTATAACTAACTACGTGCTATGATATATAAGAGATTTAACTTATATAACTAAATAAACAAAATCTCTTATATTATAAGACAACACTCTTTAGCTTAATGAACCAAGTTGTAAGCTACGTACTCATCATCATGCATTAAGCTTGTCAGTATATATATATATATATGTTAACACCATTCTTTATCTATTTTACCTATTATCTTTTTCTTTAAACTTACTTTATTTGATTTGTGCTTACTTAATATACCCTTTACCACTCCCTACTTCCCATTTTGCTAATATATAATGAATATTTAAATATTCAAAATATTTTTTTGTTTGGCCTTATTTTGTTCTAGTGATCTAAACTGAGGTGCTGCAAACTTGTAATAATCCGGCTCTAGCTTCCTATCAAATAAAGGCCGAAAACTCTTTTTCATCATTAAAAAAAGGGAAAATTGTAATAACCATCCCAAATATCACTCTAAGTTTGAGATGCCCTCTTATAAGAAGATTTGTTGCAAATCCCCACCTCCTAATTCACATTGGTTTGATTTAGGCAACTTCTCTCTATACATGCGTGAATCCTGGAGTATCTCGTGGTGAAATTAGCCAAGTCCCGTTCATCGTGATGATTTGTCAACAGGTCTCTTGTTTAGATTGTGTGGCCTTAATTTTTTATTAAACTGTATTGAAACCTACTATTTTGGGTCATCTGACCAATTGCAACAGATGAAATCATGCAGTTCTAATCTAGCTATATGATTACTGCTTCGTGTTCAAATGTTTATGTATGCTCATTACGTCCGTGAAAAAAAAAATGGATTTGTTATTCAGTACACATGATATCGGTTTCGAATTTATATAACTAGTATACCATGAAAAACACAGTGAAAATATCCATGATAACACAATGAAATGATCATCTTATACAGAACAAACAACATAATCTCTTGCTCCCGCCTAGTGGGACTCAGTTGATTTCGCTACAAGATTCTTCGGGAACAGGGCCGGCCCAGGGCATAGGCCGGTTGTGCGACCGCCTAGGGCCCAGGGCAGAGGGGGCCCCATCACTTACCACCCCCCTCTCTCTCTCCCAGCCCAGCCGCAGCCCAACAGAAGTTCAATCGCGTGCGATGATGCAATCACCGATCAGCGGCAAAGGCGCGTGCGCGATTGCGCGTCGCTTCGTCTGCCCGCGACTGCGACTTGCGAGACCGGAGAGGCGGAGATCGAGGCCGAGCCGTGTCGCTTCGTCATCCTGAAATCCCGAATTGCCGCCGATGAATCGGGAATCACGCATATGTGGAGAGAATGTGCCTAAATCAAATCAAGATGAATTAGGAGGTGGGGATTTGCAACAAATCTTCTTATGGGGAGGCATCTTAAACTCAGAGTGATATTTGGGGTGGTTTTTGTAATTTTCCCTTTAAAAAAAACACTAGCAATATAGCTCACATTGGCTCGCCGAGCCAGGCAAGCCAAGCTAATCTTTTAGTAGCTCGTCAAGATTCAAGATTAAAAAAAAAAAACAAACCAGATCTGTCTCGTTACCATAACAAATCTGATCGTGCCGCGTGTCTTACAAAAGAATCGTTATCCCCTTCTACAGTCATTCCTACAGTAAAAATAATGCATTCCCAACTCACTTTCCAAGTGCAAGTGCGTGTACCATTAGTTGGGAATAGATCGATGCATTTTTGTAGCTTTGCATGACTCACCCCTTTCACTCATCACACTCATGTATTTTCACTTTGCAAGCTGCCAAGCTATTCAGGGGACCAAAACGGCCGGTTTGATCGACGAGTCGATAGCTCCCCCGCTGGATGTATCTAATCCATTTGGTTTGGAGTTTGGATAAGATCATGAGACCCCGGCCGGCCACCTTCTTCTGCTGGTACTTGCATATCCTATACACCGGGGCTTACAATCTCAATTGGCTAACGGATTTTATCATTTTAAATCCTGTCCAAGGCTTCGATTATCGTTTTAATTAATTCGAATGGAATTTTGATAAATTTCAAATAAACAGTTCGCGATGCACGTTTGGAGCCACGGTTTGAGATGCTCAAAATTTATTGAACTGCTCTGCACCTGGATAACTGGGTACTAGAATTGGGTAGATGGGTAGACAGAGAGACGAGCACAAAAGGGATCATAGGTATTCATACGAATACCCAATGTTTTTTAAAAGTAGCTATCCATCTATGCAAAAGAATAATAATAATTACTCAATTGGTTAGTACATTTAATGGGCGTTGGGTTCAATCCCCATTCTTCCTGTGTCTTTTTTTTTCTGATTATTACTTTTCAATAGATACATCCTCTTTTTCATATATAACATAAATATGTATCTTAAAATATTGTAATATAAATCTTGAATACCCACACTTTCAAAATCTTACGTTCGCCCTTGTGGGTAGATATTTCTACTTCGCCGTCACGCTGCGAGCACAAAGGAGAGAGGTCTCTGTCTGTCTGTCTGTCTTGTCGTGCGTACATTCTTGCTAATTGCTATCCAGTCCGGCGGCCTGCAGGATATCGGCAGCTGCTTGTGCAAGAGAAAACCGGCGACTCTTGTGCCGCAGCACGCAGTTTTGCTGACCTGCCAAAAAAAAACAAATTACCAGTGTGACCCTCTTCTCCTTATCCAACCAAAACCTTCTTCTATACAATCTTATTTTCATTTCTAGATGGATGTGAATGTGCAACCACTGAAAGATCGATCAACGTCAAAATACATATAGTCCGTTTATTCGGGATTAAAAGAAACATATTACTAGAATTTAAACAAAATATTGCTAAGATGGTGTTTGAATCTCCTGAAGATATCAGATTAAGTGTTTCACGCAAAACGAGGTGGTAATAACGTGCGATTAATTGAGTTTTAATTATTACAAACTTAGAAAACGGATTAATCTGATATTTTAAAACAACTTTCATATAGAAAGTTTTCGCACAAAACACACCATTTAATAGTTTGAAAAACGTGCCATAAAAATCTTTATCTTCGTCCAACTCTTGTTGGAGAAACGAACGGGACCTAAGTGAGTTCTACTACTGTAATCACTTCATGCTTCCTAAGCTTCTATTTATTAAGAAAAACTATATGTATGAGTTTTTTTATAATACTTTTAATAGAAAAATAGCCGTGTGTTCCAACGGGTGAAGACTATTTTAATCTTATTATTGTTATACGATTTAACTAGGATAAAATTCGCTATATGAATTCGCTAGGATATATATTTTTTAGAAAATTATAAGCTGCAATTAGTAGTTCGACTTTCGTATCAAGTTAGCATGCGAGTTTTTTTAAAAAGAAATTTCTTATACGATTTATTTTGTATTTCCAAAAATAGATAAATTTAAAAACCGACCCAAACAAAAATTACGTACCAAAGTACCGGTAAAAAACATCTTCAATTTTTATAATAGTAGAGAGAAATCTTCTATTTTTCGTTTTGTACCCTCGAATCTCTACTATTATAAAAATTAAAGATGTTTTTACTGGTACTTTGGTATGTCATCTTGTTTGAGTCGGTTTTTAAATTCACTCGCTTTTAGAAATATAGATCATTGTTTGAGTCGGTTTTAAGTTCATTCGCTTTTGGAAATAAAAAAGAGTCGTATAGGAAATCTCTTTAAAAAAAAACTTGCATGCTGATTACTTGAGACGATCAAACTCTTAATTGCAACTCATGATTTTATAAAAGAAACAAATTCAAGCGGATTCTTATAGTGAATTTCACATTAACTAAACCGTATAATAATAAGATGATTAAAATAATTTTTCTATTATAACGCACGGATATTTTTTCTAATATTATTAGAATTAGATCATGCATCATCTATTTAGAACAAAAATGAACTCGTCAGTTGCGCGAAAATTGGTCCTCATGTCGACATGTCCCTAGCGCCAAACTACCTACCCTGTAGAAACTTCCTACCAACATGAAAATCGCCCCCTAGAAAATCATAAATTTCAACTCATACTTATCCCAAAGATATTCCGCAACTGAAGGGCAAAACCGTCAAGCAGCAATGTTCGAAAGCATCACCGAAGCTAGCTTACTCCTGCCGCCAGCCCGCCATCAGCTAAGCATCCATCCATGTTCTATATAGAAAGCTCTCCGGCTTGCTCAATCATCAGCAATTCAGCATTAGCAATACACAGTGTCAGATTGTCACCATATATAGTAGCCATCAATTGAAACCACATAAGAGATCAGAGAGTTAATTAATCCGGCAGCCATGGAGAACGTCACCGGAGGAGGAGGAGGAGGATCGCCGCGGCGGGTGGTGGTGGCGGTGGACGAGAGCGAGGAGAGCATGCACGCGCTGTCGTGGTGCCTCTCCAACGTGGTCTCCGCCGCCGCCAAGTCCCCCGCGGCCGCGCCGCCGCCGGCCGTGGTCCTGGTCCACGCCCGGCCGGCGCGGCCGCTCTACTACCCGGTGATCGACGGCGGCGGCTACGTGCTGACCCAGGAGGTGATGGACAGCATGGACCGCTACATGGCCACCGCCGCCGACTCCGTCGTCGCCAAGGCCCGCGACATCTGCACCGCCTTCCCCAATGTAACTTAGCTTTCTCTCAACTCCAAACTTTGACATTCTCGTTTTCCGTTAGCACGTTTTTTAGACGGTTAAATTATACGTTTCTAACAAAAAAAAACTTCTGTCTAGAAGTTATTTTTAGAAAATCTAATTATTCGTCTTTTAATTTTATAATAATTAACCATGTGCTAACGAGTTTTCTCAATGTCTATGTTAATAATATCCATTCAATTGCCTTAAACCAACGGGCCTTACAAGCGGAGGATTTTTTTTGACTTTACCATTCAATTGCCTTAAACCAACGGGCCTTACAAGCGGAGGATTTTTTTTTCCTAAAGTCAATTACATGGAAGACGTACACACACGAATCACACTTATGGTGGTACGATTGACTGATCATCTCGTCTCCTCTGATGTGCAGGTGAAGGTGGAGACGCGGGTGGAGAAAGGGGACCCGAGGGATGTGATCTGCGGGGCGGTGGAGAAGGCCGGCGCGGACATGGTGGTGATGGGGAGCCATGGTTACGGTTTCCTGCAGAGGACGCTGCTGGGGAGCGTCAGCAACCACTGCGTCCAGCACTGCAAGTGCCCCGTCGTCGTCGTCAAGAGGCCCGGCACCAACGCCAAGGCCTCTTGATGCGCCAACTCCGCGGTCCAGGATGCAATCTGTGGAATGTTGTGATAATATGGGTGTATGTATATAGTGGCCTTGGTGCAGAGTTTGTGTATGTGTAGTAGTACATGTTTTCCTTGTAGTAACAAGTAACAACATTATTGCACTCTCTAATGTATATATGCAAATGCTAGGCTTGCTTCAGTTACTGTGCAACATCAGAGCATTACTATCTAAGATTGACTCGGTTATTCTAGTTCCCCAAATCGCTCACGTTGAAAAAGAAAAGATTGGGCTCCATTTCCTAACAATGCCCATAGGAACAAAGAAATTCCACAAGGAACCCAGCTACATTCCTAGACCCAAATATGACACCATTCCTATTTTAGCCCCAAGAATGTGAAATGTAATCCTACAAGCTACAAGCGAGCGTCTTCACATAAGATATACAGTACAATCCTACAAGCTACAAGTTTATACACCAGCAGAAGCTTTGGGATCCATCTAGTTGAATCTGTTCTTAAAGGCTAATCAGCAACCAGAGTGAATGACAAATCACATCCAAGGTAACTACACGGGTGGATTGGGGATGATAATTCAAATAAGCATGTAAATCCACGAATACCATACACTCAGAAAGACAAAAAAGATAACACATTCTGACGAATCACGAGCTGTAAGCAGTCAAGAAGCACTTCCAGTCATCCAGGCATCACAACAAAATATTGAGATGTGCTAATGCAAACAAGACAACCTTAAAAATGGATAACCAATTCTTATAGAAGATAATATTTCAGGTGCAATCCAACAGCATGGAACTGGGTTGCACAGAGCCAAACTACGCATGATAAAACTTAAGTACCATAGTAATCTCCTTTGCCCTTACAGAACAGTGAAATAGGTTCAAAACTGTAGATCCAGAGATACAAGAAACATTCATAACCAAAAGGCTCCTCCACCTTACTCCTCGGATTCAGCCTCACCACTCTTCTTGTTGTGCTTCCTCGAGTACCTCTGGTTCCTGAGGAACTTTGGGTCCATCTATAAAAGCAATTTACAAAGAACCCAGGTAAGAACGCGGAAACAAGGCAACAGGATTCAATTTCAACATAACAGCGAGGACATTTGAATTGATTTCCGAAAACAAAATAAATCCTAAGAACAAAATAGGATGCAAGAATAAGCAACAAAATAGATTCCTACACACCACAAGACTATATAGACAAATTCAAAGTCGCTTCGACTTGTGATTAAATTGTTTATACTGTCCAGAAAAGTATATTGACATACACAGACGATTGCCCAAACTACCTGAGCACTGGGTCCAATGAACGTTGGACTTAATCTTTGGCTAATAATCATCAAACGGCAGGGCTAAAACCAAGCAAAATATCCAATTCCACAAGGCTAAGTGACACAGGAGTAGAAAGCCATTTTGAGAACTTAAGCAGTGAAATTGACACAGTTAATCGCAGGAAAACTCAGATAGGCACCTAACAAATTCCTGTCTAATATCGATGCAACTCGTACGGTTTCATATAACCACATTACAACTGCATATAATGCCTAACTCAATAGTAAGGAGATTTTAATAACAGTCTAACCGACACTGTCATTCGAACATGGAAAACCTAGAACTGTCATTCGAACATTTCCAAAAGCCTCTAGCCACATATACACATTATTCGAACTGTAATTCAAACAAAAGGCAACACAGTATGAACAAATTTTTTGCAGTGAATTACTATGTCCACATGAAGAAAACATCATTTTTGCAAGAAACCAAGGCAAGGCTACAGGATTGCAGGGAATCTGGATCTGAGAGTGAGAGAGAGGGAAGGAGCAAAGAGACGCACCCCCTTGGTGGAGGTCTGGCGGTGGCGCTTGGGCTTCTTGATGCCGTTCTTGTGCGCCTTGTACGACTGGTTGTGCGCCGTGTGGTTCTTCGACTTGGCCATCTCCGATCTCTCTCTCTCTCTCTCACTCCACCTAGAACAGGAATAGCAGATGAGGGTCAAACGAATCAGAGGAGAAACAGGAGGAGGAAGAGGAGATTTTGGGCGGATGCGCGAGGAGACGAGATGGTACGGTTCTCTTACCGGCGTCGAGAGAAGTCGCGAGCACGGGAGGAGGTCGGCGGCGGCGTCTAGGGTTTCGGGGATGGCTTGGACTCGAGGGCGAGTTTATATAGGGGAGGCCAGGAGGGGGATGGCTTCCCTAAGCCCGTGGTTGGATGGGCCGAAATTCGGCCCATTGTTTGGGCCCTGATCGAGCTGTTTTAACGGGCTAATTAGCAATAGGAAAAAGTGCACCGAAGGTCCCTCAACTTATAGTCGGGATAAAAAACATCCTCGAACCGCAAAATCAGATACGCAGGGTCCCTTAACTATACAAAACTAGTCACCCGAGGTCCTTCGGTGGTTTTGACCCCAGTTTTGGTCTACGGATGAGTCAGCGTGGGACCCATATGGGGTCCCACATGTCAGGTGTCCACGTCACCCTCTCTCTTTCCCCTCTTCTCTCCATTCCTCATCTCTATCTCTTCACTTCTGTGCAAGCTGTCCGGGGTGAGGCGGGAGAGCGGCGCCGTGACCGCCGCCGGCGGAGGCGGCGTGCGAGCGTGGTGTGGCTGGTGTGGCGACTGTGGCCGGCCGGAAGGATGGAGACGGTGGTGGTGGTGGAGGAGGGGGAAGCAGCGGGGGGAGTTCTTGGAGCTATGGATGGGGGTGGGGCTGGGGCACTGACGGCGGCGGTGGCGGGAGCAGTGGCGTCGGGGGAGGCGGCGAAGGAGGACGGGGAGGCGGTGGCGGTGGCGGTAGTGGAGGCGGAGGTGGCGGTGGCGGCAGTAGCGGCGGAAGAAGGTGCTGGTGGGGATGCGGCAATGGTAGACGGCGCTACAAAGGTGGCAAAAAAGGCGGTGGCGGCGGCGAGGGCGGCAAGGGCATCAGGGCGGAGAGGGAAAAGGCCGGCGATGGCGGCGGTGGCGTGGGGATGAGGAGCGCGCGGCGGGGGAGGAGGCACGGGCGGCGGCCGAGCTACAACTCGAGTCTGTACCGGGTGGGGGAGTACGCGCGGTGCATGGCAGCGATGAGGCGGTGCCGAGGGGCGCTGCTGGTGTGCCAGATGCAGTGCGAGGGCCCCTGCTTCTACGACTGCGACGCCAACTGCAAGGCGCACTACCACTTCTAATAGCGGCGCCGCTGCCGACGTCATTTGCCGGCCGCTCGGGAATATATATATGTGCCACCGGCTGCTTGCATTTGCTTGCTCATTGTGTGTGTCTAGCTAGCTCGATTGGCTGCTTAATTTATCGGTGAGAATATGGGCGCGCCGTGCTGGACCACGAGCCGGTGAGGCTGCACCCCACCGCCGCGTCCCACTGCGCGTACTCGTCGCCGGCGCCGCTGACAGGGCCGACGCGTTCGCCGGCGCACGCGACGACAAGAGCGCGCCCCACGTCGGCCGAGCGGGGCGAGGAGGCGGAGAAAGCGGAGAAGCCGCCGCGCTCGCACGCCGCCTCTGCCGGTGGCCGTCGCGGCGCCGCCCTCCCGCCTCACCCCGGCCAGCTCGCACAGAAGTGAGAGAGAGAGAGAGAGATGAGAAAGGGAGAGAAGAAGGGAAAGAGAGAAGGTGGCGTGGACATCTGACATGTGGGGCTCACGTGGGTCCCACGCTAACTCATCCGCCACGTAGACCAAAACAGAGGTCCAAACCACTGAAGGACCTCGGGTGACCGGTTTTGTATAGTTAAGGGACTCCGCATATCTGGTTTTGCGGTTCGAGGACGTTTTTGTATCCCGATGACAAGTGAAGGGACCTTCAATGCACTTTTTCCTTAGCAATATGGCCTTAAGTGACTCCTTTCTGATACCTGGTATAGGCTGGTACCTGGTACCTTGTACCCAGTACCTGAGTACCAGTTGGTACCTGGTATCCGATACCCTGGTATCGAGCTGGTACCTAGGTATCAGACCATAGTACCTGGGTACTAGGCGTGATACCTCAAGAGAGAGTAAACGAGACGCCGCCATTGGCCATCTAGTACCTGGGCATCCTGACTTCGCTTGAGGCAAAGAGACGCCGCCGCCGGCCACCGCGGCTGCTGCTCACGCACGGGGCAAGACCACGGCGGCGCAGCACGTGGCAGCACGGCACCTGGACCACACCTTCGAGAAGCTCACGTCGGTGTATCTCCCGCTCGTGGCGGCGACGCCGCTGGTGGACGCGCTGCGCGCGTTGCCCGCCGAGCTGCTCGCGCTCCCCGACCTCGCCCTAGAGGGATTGTAATTTTGTTTGGGACCCTGGCTTAAGTGGGGCCCATGTGGGGTGCATCCTAACCAGGTAGAGCGCGAGTGCACGACCCTAGGGACCCCTAAATCGTTCTTCCCACCTTTATAAAATAGCTAGGTACCTCTCCAGGATTTCTTGGGTTTGTTAGATTAAAGTTTAGCCATTGCTATTTGCTTGCAGGCACGTGTTGGCTAGACCACCCATCTACTTGTTATTTGGAACCCCAACTTATCATTTGTATTCAATTCCTATTTGCTATATTAGATTGGTTTTATCTTGTTCTTGCTTATTTCTTTGATTTGCTTGTAGGAATAGGGTTGATTCACCGGCAGCGTGCGTCTCAACTTATCATTTGTTATACGTTGCAGCACGCGTTGTTATTTAGAGCTCCAACTTACTATTTGTAACGTGTTGGTTTTATCAGATTGGTTTTATCTCGTTCTTGTTCTTGGTTGTTTTTTCGATCTGCTCGCTTATGGCCAGTGACCACATATATGCATCCTAGTATATTACCAACGCGTGCTGCCTCGTGCCTCAGTGAACAATTTAAAGCTTGCACATAGGAGTATATGTAAAACGCTAGCTAGCTCGATCGATCGATGGTTAGGTGAGAGATCAGCCGGGAATTGAGAGCAAAACCCTTCTAGAATGCTAAGCCCGATCGATCGATCCAAGGACCTACCTACCGCGTCGCATTCATTCGTGTGCACTCTCTGCTCTGGTCGTGTTTGTAGGTAGCTCCTGCATGCAGGCTCGTGTGAGGTTTGGAGAGAAGCTAGGCGTCACTACGCATGTAGTAGATTCTATTGATGATCAGTAGCCAATTTGATTGGTAGCGTCGTACAGGCAGGTAGCACGAACGTACCCGACCTAGGTAGGTTAATTTGGGAGCTTAGCTGCGGGCATCGATCGATCGATCTGAGTTCTGACGGACCCAAGTCCGATGGTTTGGTGGCGACGCAATGCTCTCGATCGAGCGTGTACGCACGTAGGGTGCAAACGGTTCGAAAAGTTTTCGGCTTCAACTAGTGTTTTTCGAACGAAAAGTGTTGGAATTTCTTTTAAAGCTTTGAAAACAACAACGATTTAGAAATTCTTTTTTTTCTTGAAAACAAAAACGAATACAGGAAGACTACTGCCCGTCAAAAGCTGGAATTGGTTAGATACTTTCCAAAATCTGGATTTTTTTTCTCGGAAACAGAAATGCATTTAGATTTTTTTTTCTCAAAAACGAAAACGAATATAGTAAGGCTAATATTCGTTGGAAACCAGAATCGGTTGCAAGCTTTCCAAAAACGAATTTGTATTTTTTTTCTCACAAACATAAACAAATTATTTTTATGTAGCTGATTAGCTTGATCATTCTCTACTTTAGATGCTCAGATTTGTACACAGTACTGAGGTGGTTAGTTGAATGGATTTTTTTTTCTACCAATGCTTTAGATATGCTTTTCTCTTGTCTAATAACTATTTTTTATTAGACCATGCCGTACTGACTAATATATAGTTCTTGCTTATTGTAATTTTCATGAAAAGTAAAGTGTAAAACTAGTTATATATTATTAATTGATAAAAAATAGGAATTTTAATTTATTGTTTTAGAAAAAAATAGTGAGGCACATCTCTTCGCTAAAGAAGAAGCAACAACCTCTATTTTCATATTCCGATAAATATTAGTTACAATATTCGCTCCGTATCTATATTCATCAGTATCATATTATGTTTTTTATCTACGGTTTTTATTTCAATTCCGATTCCAAAAAGATATAAAAACAGATATGGCAGAGTTGGTGTTAGTCCATTTCCAAGCCATTTTTCTCCTATGTAAGTGCGTTCAAGGAGAGGCTCCTCCGACGTCGGTTCTGTAATATGGATCGCCGGCATGTGGATCCATAATCTGTGGGACTCACATATAAACCTTTTAAAGTTAAAGGATATTAAGTTAGAATATGTATTTCCATACGTGCAGCTAGCGGTGCAGGCAATCAGGTTGCGAGATAGCGGCTAGCTGGGAATCAGGTTGCGAGAGGCGTTCTTGGCAGGTTGTGGTTGTTGGCAACAATCGGCAGGCGAGTCAAGGTGAGCTCAACGGCCATTGGCATCCCCTTCAGTCCCCTCCCCCCGCAAGCACAAGGAACTGCCTACTGTCATCGATCTGTGTACGCATGTCTTCCACTCCACATGCTTGATGAGCCCATGACTCATCATCATGTCAATTAATAACCGCTGCCACCACCGCTAACCCGATCAGCGTCTTAATTAACTTTCTATGTTTTAAAATATAGCTATCACTAAAAAAAAATATAGCTGCCATTTTAAGTTCAAAGTTGAACTATATATTTTAAGATGGAGAAAGCACATTTATAAATATTTGACGTTTAGAGTAGGGTTCGATCAAAGTTTTAAAATTTAAACCGTCGAAAGTTTCTCAAATGTGTAGTTTAAAACCAAATGAAATTGTATATATATAGATTTACCTCGAAAAGTACTACCGTGATATTATAAACCTATTGAATCTTATAATTAAACTGATTCTAATATGAAATTGATAGAAGTGAATTTTAAAGTTTGACCAAAACTTACTGTAAACGTCAATTATTCATTGCCGGAGGGTGTATTTCAATTTCTTGTTCATTTTCACTAGCTATATATACTATGTCGTTGCTTGGTAATTTGGAAGAAATCAAATCAATAAAAATTTCAGTATAGTCCGTTTTAGCGATATTTCAATAATTCAATTCTGCATATAACCTAAGCCATACGTCACAATTACCAGAACCAGACAGAACTCGTCTACCATGGTAGAAAAACAAGCACTTAATTTGATACGAATCATTCTCATGCGAGCTCAAAGCTCACTGGAAGCAACTGAGACATCCAAAGTACATCAAGGTCCAGCATAGTCAACAAAACTAGGCTGGAAACTTAAGAACTTAACCAATTAATCGATGTCCAGTTTAGGTGTGATTTGTGCACACTCCAACACAGGACCAAGTCTAGGAAACTAGTGAGGGGTAGTTGGTTCTTGTGTACCAAACACCTGCACAGAATGGCCATTACCCATGTCATGCATGGTTTTTATAGCAATTGGGACTAGCTTGCAATCATCTCCCAGTGATCCATATGCCTCTGCCTGAATATTAACTCACCAAATGGTTCAAGGGATCACATTTTGCTTCATATTCAGTAGCCATCCAGAGTTCCCCAAGAAGCAAGGCTGCCATGCTTCTTTAATCCAGTGCTGCATTTTATAAGCAGCTTTGTTGCCAATTCAGTTGCATAACCTGCACATATAAAGAGGGACTGCAGGCTAGGTGTGCTAGAAGCAGAATCTCAAGCTGTGAGGGAGTAGTAACTGAATTTTGATCAGTTCATTCAGTTGCATGTCCTTGCATGCCATGGCCTGTCTCAAGCTCAGACATGTGTGCCTCACTGTGGTGCTCTTCTCCATTGGTATCTCCAGCTGTAGAGGTAATTAATCTATCTTAGATCCACTTTTAATTAACATATGGGATGCATGGCTTCTTGTCTTTTTGTTCAAAAGTAGGACTTTGGTCTTGTTTGGAAATGATCAGCTTTAAATTTGAAAATGCCATAGTTTTAACGTTTCCAGATAGGGGTATTGAGGGATTTTTCAGCATATATAATCTGAAGGAATTTTACGATCCTTGCATTGGAAGTATCATCACTCCATCTGTTTGGTTCTAAGTAATTAAGTAACTGTATTTATCTGAACAATGCAGGGCAAGGAGGAGGGGGAGCAGGTGGTGGTGGTGCAGTAGTTCCAGGGACACAGGATGCAATCCAGATTGTGGCACAAGCTGCTCTCTGCTTTGACAATAGACAAGTAAGTTCCATTCTCTTCTCTTCACTTTGAATTTCATCATAGAACATTTCTATGGATCCAGAGATTCTTACTGACCAAAAACTATGCAGAATGAAAGTGACTGAGTGCGTGGCATGCATACTGTGAGATCAATGCAAAAGGCACTCTTCAGTGAAATTATATTAGTTCAACCAATTGGGATGTATAATGGCCTTGAAACATTAATTTAATTAGGGTGTCACTGTGTCACTAGTGCAAAATAAGCATTGACCTTCAGCCCCAAAAGCAACTCCTAGTGTGTACACTTCAACTTGGAAAAAATTAAGGTCGATGTAGCTATATTAAAGGATGGAGATGTTTACATTGTTTTGTTTAAATTAGGCTGGTACACCATGTGCAATCATTTTGTACACGACAGTCAAATACCTGAAAATTATTACTTTCTTCGTTTTTAAACAACTGGCAATCCTAACTTTACTATATGAAATTCGGCTGCGAATTATTCTTAGATGGTTAGACTAAAGTGAACAAAAGCTCCATACATATACTTAGGACGTTATACACTTTAATAACAAATCATCTTTTTTTATTGTTTGCAAATATTTACAAAGTGACGTATCCATAAATAAATAGTGCTTGCTTTCAATTATTAAGAAAATGGAGGGAAGTATATAGTTCAAAAACAAACTAGCACTTCTCTTAGTTTTTGAACCAATTTTTAATATAATTATGGAAATAGACACACTATTAACTTTTTTTGAAAACAAACAATGCTCATAGCCAAAAAGGTTTATTTTTTTTATAATAAGTTATCAGATGTTCAATTCGCTTTTTCCATAATTACAGCGTGGACAATTGTTCTACAATTTGGTCAGCTTAGGATAAAATTAACATAATAGTAATACTGCATTTTTTTTCTTATATTTAACATTATTATTACAAATTATGCATGGCCGGTGATCTCCTCTGTCTGTATATTACCAGTGTCAGTGACTTTTGAGTGTCGTACGTTCGCTCATCACCCAACTAAATGAAGAAAAAAAACGTTTAATTATATTAATTAATCTTGTGGCAGGTGATCAACGGGTGCCTGCAATCGATGGGCATCAACGTCACCACCACAACCGGTGGCAGCGGCGCCACCACGTCGGCTCCGGCGGCGGCGAACGGGTCGGCGGCGGCGACCATGTGCAGCGCGCCGTGCTTCGGGCAGATGACCATGATGATGGGGTGCGTGAACGGCATCTTCGGCAACTTCGCCGGCTACAGCCCGGGCCTCATGCAGGGAGTCCAGGCCGTCTTCCAGATGGCCTGCGGCAACGTCAATGGCCAGGGCGGCGCCGGCGCCGCCGCCGGTGGCGGTGGCGGTGGCAGTGCAGGAGCCTCCGGCGGTAGTGGTGGTGGTGGCGGCGGCGCCGGCGGTGCTACTGGTGGTGGCGCTGGATCGGGGAATGCTTCTCCTAATTCAGGTAAAAATGTTGGGCTAGCAGATTACCAGCTAATTAGTTACTCTTAACTCTCCATTTAGAAATATATTCGATGTTTGATAAGATTTGATTAAATCTTTAAAATTTTGACCTGTTTAAGACAAGAAATAAAAAGAGTAAAATCGGCTTGAAAATCACTATCATTACTCCATCCGTCCCAATATGTCACGTCTGGAGATGTAGCGGCAATTTAAAATTCCAATCAAATTTGTTATAAATATCAAATAATATTTCTGAAGGAAGGGTTATTTGTTTTTACTATGCTTTACACTGGTCATCTAAACATTGGTGTTTGATGAATATGTGCCCATGTAGGCTCACACGTGGCGGTAAAGCGTCCGGGTTATCCGACCAGCGGAGCAGCTGGGCCCACTGTCAGCCTCACGAGGGTGTTTTCCTCTCTGCTAATCGTCTGGGCTGGAACAAGGCTGATGGCCTGATTGATTGCTGCTGTTCGAGCAGCTTTTGACTGGACACAGGCAAACGTTGCTGAAGAGTTCAAAGATGTGTTGTGTTTTCTTTTTAATTTCCTGAATAGTGAATAGTACTGTAGCATATTGATATTGATTTCTACAACCCACGCACCAGTGCTGATTTCATGTAACAACAATCTGTAATTTGTACGTCTTTTGATTTGATGAATAATAAATTTGATGCGTGTTTGTTTCCTTCACCTTAATATCGACGGTTGAGAACCGGTTTTCTTGATCGTCCATTCAGGTCGAAAAGTCGAATTGATCTTGTATTTTTGTATTGCAATATGATACACAACTCTCCAATAGTACAATGCAAAAGAAAGGAGTTGACCTTGTTAATCATATTTACCACATCTTTTTCCTCAAAAAAAATAGAACATATTTATCCACGGATATAAACATATTTATTAAGTGCCACATAAAAATAATACAAATATAAATCATTCTCAAAAGGAAAAAGTACACCGAAGGTATTGTTCCCCAACCACAAAAACAGATATATGACATTCCTTAACTTATAAAACCGTTCACCACAGGTCTTTTGGTGGGTTTGACCCCGATTTTATCTGATGTGGTAGCTGAGTCAGCGTAGGATCCACGTGGACCCTACCAGTGAACACATCATCATGCTCTCCTTCTTTCTTCTGTCTCTCTCTTGCTCTCTTCTCACTCGCGCCGAGCAACGCTCGGCGCGGCGAGGCAACGGTGGTCACCAGTCGCGACTCCGGCGGTGAAGGGCAGCAACCGGCGCAGGGCTCAGAGAAGTGGCCCCCACGTGCAAGCGAGTGGCGGTCGGAAGAGCAGCCTTGGGCGGCGGCGTGAAACTCCGGATCTGGGGTTTGGGGCAGCGGCGGTGGCCGGATTTAGGGAAAACAACAGCGGTGGTCGTTGGGCGCCGGCGAGGAGTGAAATGGGCATTTGGTTGTGTCGTGCAGAGGCATGGCCGTGGAGGACCCGAGCCAGCCGCACGGGCTCCGGCTGCTCATCGAGGAATACCCGTACGCCGCCGATGGGCTGCCTCTGGTCGGCGATCTCGCGGTGGAGCGAGGCGTACGTGGCGGCCTACTACCCGAGCGACAAGGCCGTGCAGGCGGACTACGAGCTGCAGTCATGGTACGCCGAGGCCGTGCAGAGCAGGCACGCGGACAAGCGCGACGCGCCGTGGTGGTCACGCCTCTCCATGCCCGGCGCTCGCCGAGGGCGACCTGGAGTACGCGCACCTCGTCGCCGACCCGCACCGCTTCTTCCTCTCGGCGCTGCCCAGCCTGACGCAGACCACGACGACATGACTGTCATCGACACGCTGTCCACGCACTCCGCTGCTCCGCCGCCGGATTCCCCATCGACGGCCGCACCTCCTTCCTTGCCGTCGGCTGCGTGTTGGTGTAGTCCGGCTGTCCAGACCACCGCGCCTCCTTCCTGCCTCCGCCACAACTCCCATCGCGAGCGGAACCTCGCCACGCCGGCAGACGACGCAGACGTCGCGGCGCACGGCCAAGCCGTTGGCGCCAGCCTCACCGAGGAAGTCCTCCCGATGCTGGAGGAGGTGTGATTTATGGCGGGGGTGCTCCGCCAGCTGCTCCGGCCGCCGCCACTCTACCTGCCGCCCGCCCGCTCCGCCACTCCATCCTATTTCAGGCGTGCACGGGAGGGAGAGAATAGAGAAAAGAGGGGAAAAAGTCGAGGGTTCACTGACATGTGGGACCCACGTGGGTCCCACGCTAACTCAGCTGCTACATCGGACAAAACCAGTGTCAAAACCACCGAGAGACCTAAAGTGAACGGTTCTATAAATTGAGGGATGTCATATATCTGGTTTTTCGGTTGAGGGATGATTTTGTAACTCGATTACAAGTTGAGGGACCTTCGGTGTACTTTTTCCTTCTCAAAAACAAAATTTAAAATGTGAATATCATTTAGGAATAAGTTCACTTCGTGACCCTCAAAAGTGATCGAAATCTAATCCGTGACCCTAAATTACAAAACCGGATATCTCGACCCCCTAACTCTCGAAACCGGTGCAATTTGACTCCCTTGTTTTGGAGGACGGTTTCGCTGACGTGGCGCCTACGTGGCGGTATTGACTCGGTCTTCTTTCCACGTGGCGCTTAGGTGATGTTAGAAATAAAAAATATATGTGGGACTCATTTGTCATTCACCAAAAGTATGGGTGGGACCCACTGACATGTGGGGCCCACGTAAATCATTCTCTCCTCATCCTCCCCCTCTCTCTTTCTCTTCCGTTGGCGAGCGGCGGCCGTGGGATGGGGGCCAGCGGCGGAGATGTTCCGGCGAAACAGAAACGACGAGGAGGAGCGGTGTGGCGACGAGGAGCAGCCGCGGAGCATGATTCCGGCGGCGGCAGGCGGGTGCCTTTCTCTGAGCCGTGGCATAGAGACTGGAGAAATTCTATATCAGTTCTTGATTCATCTCACCGGTGATTGTCATGCAGGCATCACCGCTGTATATCTCGGAGATAGCCAAGATCCGCTGTACATCTGGCTGATTATCAAATATAATCAAGCTTAGTTACTAACTAATGGCAGATTTAGTTTAATTGTATAGTAAGAGCTGTACCTGGATGCTGGATTGGAGTTATGGCAGGCTGTGGTGGCGCGAGTCAGAAAAGCAGTAGCCGATATCGGCGTGGACGAACACCCAAAGCAGCTCGTCGTGATAATTGATGCCGGTCGCTTCCTCCTCGCCCCCACATGCGTTCCACCTCTTCCTCCACCCGGTCCACCGCGTCCTCCACGCCTGCCTCACCCCGTGGGCCGCCACGACGCGCTACCTCGAGGCCGATCGGCCTCCACTGCGCCATCGCCATCTCCGCCGCAGGAATCATGCTCCGCGGCTGCTCCTCGTCGCCACACCGCTTGAAGAAGGAAGGAGAGCAAGAGAGAAGGGGTCGTCGTCGCCGCTGCTCCAGCGCCCGCCCTCCCGCCTGCCGCCGGGTGCGCTGGCAACGTCTCCGCGGGGAGGGGTGGGGGAGGCCGACGACAACCCGCGGGAGAGGGGTGTTGGTGATGCCGTCTGTGGCGGCGGCCAAGGCGGTGGCCGGCGGCAAGTCGGCGCAGACTCCATCGTCCGTGGAGAGGAGAGAAGGGAGGAGGAAGATGGGGAGGAGAGGATTATGTGGGCTCCACATGACAGGGGCTCCCACATTTTTTTCCGTGTGTATGACAAATGGGTCCTACACATATTTTTTTATTTCTAATACCACGTAAGCGCCACGTCAACGTCACGTGGAAAGAAGACCGAGTTAAAACCGTCACGTAGGCGCCACGTCAGCGAAACCGCCATCCAAAACCACCCAGGGAGTCAAATTGCACCGGTTTCGAGAGTTAGGGGTTGAGATATCCGGTTCTGTGGTTTGGGGTCACGGATTAAATTTCGATCATTTTGAGGGTCACAAAGTGAACTTATTCCTATCATTTACAGCCAGACCGGCCCAACCTAGCTAGGAGAGCAGGCTTTGCATGGCCCAGTTCTGGCCCATGTTTAGATTCTTGAAATAATCTATTGGCAGCGGTTGGCTGGAGAATTTGCATAGACAGATCTTCCTCCTTTCGTGCAAGACATCGATTGTTAATTAGCCCGATGGAATTGACAAAGATTTGGGCAAGAAAAGTTGCGATCCTTGCAAGGTGTTGGATTCGACTTGTATAACTTGAACTGCACTTCTTTCATATTCCTTCGTTAACAGTTGGTTACTAGTCCTAATTAATTCAGTAGCAATTGCCCAAACTAAACTTTACGACAAATCTCCAGCTAGACACAAAATGTTCTTTTGAATGAAGCGGTCCATAATTACTGCTAGATAGCATTGCTCAAAGCTAGACGGCAGTGATTTCTTTTGAATGAAGTTTTGCAAAATGAAAGAGTGGACAATTGGGCATCCTTGGGAATGTTGGTAGGACTAGGAATGCAGCTGGTAAATCTTGATAGAAAACAAGCACATGTTTTGTCAAAGAAAGAAAGAAAGAAAGCATGCTCTGACGAAAAACAATCAAGCAGAGAAAACCATATATAACAAGATATAGAGCTAGCCTCATCGCCGAAATGCAGCGGCACTAGCCTAAATTACATCTCTGCTCAACTACAACGATCACCTTCTCCCGAATTAACTCAGCAATATGGCAGTATTGCTCCATCCCTCTCCAAGAAGTGTCTGCTTGGCCTTTGCAATTGCAGTGTGTCTTTTGCTCCCATGCTGCTTTGGTAGTGAGTGCCTCAATAATTCTAGTTCTTCTTGGTTTTCTGCATGATAATCTTCATGCTGCTAGCTAGCTAGTTGGTGCCATTGCATAACTACATTAGGATACAGCATGCATGTCAGCAACAAACTCTGAAGTTAGCCACAGCTTTCTCTAACATTAACACGATCGTTATTAATTTCATCGTCGCATATGCAGGCAAAGCTGCCGTGGAAATGTTCGAGAAGGCTTGCCATTGCTTCGACGATCACAACGTAAGCACATATATATAGCTATAAACAGAATCAAGTTAATTAATTAACTGTTAACTGTTTATAATCAAGTGTGTTTCTTCATGCATGCATGTCGCAATTGATCATTGAACCGAATTAATAATTTTGAATTTGCAGGTGTACAGCGAGTGCAAGGAGGAGCTTCGGCTGGGGGTGGAGGGGGCGTTCCATGTGGGGAAGGAGAGCGTGGACGAGTACTGCGGTGGGCCGTGCCTGATGGAGACGAAGATGGCGCTGCAGTGCGTGGAGGAGGTCGCCCACGACGGCTTCAGGTTCTACAGCGGCGCCTCGCTGCCCGCGGTCAAGGCCGCGCTCGACACCGGCTGCAGCTACACTCCTGACAGAGGTAAATTATAGTATATTAATTTAGTCCAACAAATTATATATTCTCCTTTCCTGAAAATATTTTTTTTTAAAAAAAACTCTCAAGATCACGTGCAAAAAAAAAAAGTTTGGACAACAAAAACTATAATAGGATATCTCTCTGTGTAAACATGAGTGTTTAAATTGTTTAAATTCTATTGACGCGCACAAATTAAGAAAATATATAGACCGCAGCATGAAATTTCTCAAATGTATATGGAAAAAAACGATTTTTATAAATTTATTCTAGTATAAAATTACACATTTTGGAGTTTAAAATGTTTTATAAATCCTGTCTAGAATGCCAAATGCTTGCATATCTATCAGACAATATATTATCTTGAGTTGGGGCCTCATCGACTACCCAAAAGTTTATTATAAACACCGTAAAGGCTTATTGGCGATTAAAAAAATATTTTTTTATAAAATTTTTATATGTATTCTTACTATTTAATAGCCAATACTAAAAAAAGTGGTGAAAACATATTAAAATTAACTTCAAATTAAGTTAAGTCACCAACTACCCAAAAATTTATTATAAACACCGTAACATCTTATTGGCGATTAAAAAATAATTTGTTTTAATTTTTTTATATGTATTCTTACTATTTAAAAGCTAATACTGAAAAAAAAGTGGTGAAAACATATTAAAATTAACTTCAAATTAAGTTAAGTTTCAAACTTAAATTTTACTTTGACTTATTATTTTTTTATCCTTTTAAGACCACCAACGGGGCTCTTGATTTTTTTTATTACCCATATATACGTGCAGGGACGTTTGAGATTAGGGAGCGTAAGCAGTGCGGCGACGAGTACTACCACTACAGCCACCACGAGCAGACGACGGAGCAGCAATACGGTGGGTACTATGGCAGCGAGGAGGGCGAATACCCAACTACGACTAGTACGCTTCCTGCTTCAGACTACTGCTACGGCGCCGGCGCCAGCAGCCTAGGCCTTCGCTACAGCCTGCTGCAGATGCTCATGCTCTTCTCCGCTTCTATGGTGCTTCTGCTGCTTGTAATATAAGGAATACAATACTCCGATACAGTTCATCGTTTTATATCTATACTTTTTACTATTTTTTAGAATATGTAAAAGGATTACGCACTTTTGTATTAAGAGGTATAAAATTTATACAAACAGCAAGCAAAGAAGAGAGACGGGAAAGAAAAGGGGAAAAAGGAAAATATATGAACTTAAGCCTACTCTCGCTATTACAATGTGACGACTGAATGACCAAACACCCTAACTAGGAAACTTTGGCGATAGGGGACAGGCGAGATGCCAAAGGGTGGCCTCTTGCACCATGGCCGTGACAACCTTAGGCCAGAACCGAGAACGGTTGTTGAACACACGACTGTTCCTTTCCTTCCAAATAGACCAAGCACCAAGAGTCACAATCGTATCGAACCCATGACGACGCTCCCTCGAAACTTTGAGCCGGCAAGAGTAGTGCCACTCATGGAAGGAATCAGCGCCAGAGGGGAAACACTGAGGGAGGCCGAGGCTCGAAAGGACAGTCCACCATAGCTGGAGGGATTCAGGGCACCCAATCAGAATGTGATCGATTGTCTCTTCCAGTTGGTCGCAGAAGACAATAGGTTGGGTTCGGCAGCCCACGCTTCTCCAATCGGTCAGTCGTCCAGCAGCGTCGGTGAGCGACCAGCCATAGGAAGTAGCGATATTAAATCCAATAAGGCAATCCAGCGAAAGAGAAAAAGAACGGGAAGAAAAACAAAAACATCACCGGGAAGCCGCCGCCGACGTCGCCGTTGGATCCGCCGCGGGAAGCCACCGCCACCAGATCCGCCCGTAGGAAGCCACCGACGCTGACATCGCTGCCGTTGCTCATGGTGGGGGAGGGCGCTGTCGCCGACAGAAACAAAGAGGCCGAGAGGGAGGGACGGCCGTCGAGGAGAGGGAGAGGGGAAGGGACGGCCGTCATTGTCGTCTCTGCTGCTGTACCTCTCTACGGCCGCACCGTGTTGGCAAGACGGAAGGGAGAGGGAGAGGCGCCGCCAGTAGGGAAAAGAGAGGGGAGGGGAGGGGAGGGGGAGAAGCGCCGCCGGTAGGGAGTGGGAATGATCTAGGGTTAGGGTTTTTTTTTTTGCATGGGGGGTTTTGATTGATTTGGAACCGATCTGAGTCGTTTATCAAAATGAACGGCTCAGATTGATCGAGCGTTGGGCCGACCTCCATTGTCGAATCGCAGCATTGCTGGGCCGCACGCGGGCCAGCAGTCCAACACAAAACATGGTTAGATTTTCGGTTACGGCCCACACGGCAAGTTTGAGGAGGAGTAGGGGGATATCAATTAGACTTTAGTTGCTTCCTGGGCTGAACGCTTGCTCGCGGCCTGAGGAAAGCGGACCGGCTCGGTTGCGGGTTGAAAAAGAAAATGGGCTAAAAATGGCTCTTATAAAAAGGAGGATTTTTATTTAAATAAATATTGAAATTATGTTTGTATTATCAAAATTAGCAATTAAGATCTGGAAATTCTAAGAAAATTTCAAAAAGTGTAAGCAATATGGAGAATTTAATAAAAATTAAATCCAACCATATAATTTTATTTCTCACACTTATTTTACTTGTAAATTAACTTAATTATATACCTACCTACTTAGAAAATACCCAAAAATTCTAGAAAATATGTATTTTAATTAATTAGATAATGTAAATCTTTCTCAATCTTTCCTCAATTTTCTCGTCTTTTCTTCCCGTTGTAACACACGGACACTTTTTCTAGAATGTATGTCATAGTTTCTAAAAGAATATTTTAACAAAAAATTGGTAAACTTTTAAACTTTTCGCTACAATTTTAGTGCAGTCATCTGTCCGCCACTAACTTGATGCCTGCTGCAAGACAACGATCAATTATTTTTTTAATGAACTGGCGAGCCGCCAATTTTATTGAACAGAGAAGGAGTAAAACTGTACATACGCAAAGCGCAAAAAGAAAACTTTACAGGTTCAAGGCCTTTGGCCCGAACATGTTAGAAGGTAAGCCACCTGCCGAGATGTTTTGCGCCCGCCAAGACCCATGTTTTGGCCTCCTCCTTAATTTTGGCTATCAGACTAGCCACCGTGAGCTCTTGGTGCTAGAAGACTCTGTGGTTCCTTTCGTTCCAAATCTCCCAAGCGACTAATAGCATTATAGTCCACAAGGCCTTCTTTGGCACTTCATTGGTACATGCGGTGGCCTCCCACCACTTGAGTAGTGTCGAGGCTTGTTGCTACGATGTTGGTCTTATCTGTTCATATGCCGACCAGTCTGCGAGTGCCGCCCAGATTCTCTTCACGTATGTACACTCCACCAGGAGGTGGAGGGCCGTTTCCTGGTTCCTTCGACAAAGGGGCAGACGGAGCCATTCGGCTACCCACAGGTTGCCAATCTATCGGAGGTCCATACTCTATTTTGGATGACGAGTCAAGCAAATGTTTTACATATTAAGGAGCTTGCCCAGCGAATGAATTAAGGAGCTTACATATTTTAGCGTTGTTGGTGATCGTTAATTTTTTTTAGATATTTCTTTTTGTCTTATAAAAAATTAAGGAGCTTGCCCGGCGAATGAATTGGAGCTTACATATTTTAGCATTGTTGACGATCGTTAATACTGATTTTGATACTCAGTATCATAATAAATAAATGTGAAAACTTTCGATGGCCTGTAACAAAATTCAAAGATCAACTTTCGATGATATGAAACCAATTTTGCTTATAAACTATATCAGTGATGGGATCCTATGGCCCCTAGGTATCCCTCACCGGATCCGCTTGTACGCCGATGGTGTGGTCGCATTCCTTAGGCCGGTTGCTGGGGAACTAGCTGCAGCACAAGGGATCCTGGCTCTCTTTGGAGAGGCATATGGTCTTCATACCAACTTCACCAAATGTTCCGCAATCCTGATCAACTACTCGAAGGAAGAGGTCGCAGCCCTCGATGACTCCCTCACTTGCCCGGTTGAGGAGTTCCCATGCAAGTATTTGGGTTTGCCTCTCTCCATCAAAAAGCTGCGCCGTGAGGACCTCCAGCCTCCAATTAACAAGATTGCGCAGTGGCTGCCACTGTGGAGATCAAATTGGCTCCAGCCAGCCGGGCGCCTAGCACTTGTCAAAGCAATGCTGAGTGCGATCCGGTTTACTTGCTCATCGCCATTCCCCCCCCCCCCGCGAAATGGGTGCTGAAAGCCATCGACAAGATACGACACGGCTTTCTCTGGTGCGGTATCTTTGCATGCGGTTGGCAACCGCATGGGGGAGAAGGTCTGCAAAAATCACCCTTTTCGCATGCGGCCGGCCCAACCACATGCGAAAATGGGATTTTCGCATGCGGTTGCTTATACCTAAATTCAGCAAACAAAAAAAAAATAAAAATAAAAAAACCTAAACCCTAGCCCGCCACCGCACGGTGCCGGATTCGTCGCCCCCGCCGCCTGCCGGAGTTGCCGGCACCGGATCCGTCGCCCCCGCCGCCCGCCATCGTCGCCAGCATAGGATCCATCTCCCCCGCCGGCCGCCGTCGTCACGGGCTCCGGATCGGCCGCCCTCGCCGCCCGCCGTCGTCACAGGCTCCAGATCGGCCGCCCTTGGCGCCGGATCCGCGCGGGGCGGCGCCGCCCGAGGCGGCAGAGCCGCCCCCGCCGCCGTCCGAGGTCGTCGTCTGGTGAGGAGGGGGGAGGGGCGGTGAGGAGGGGATGGCGGTAGTGCCGCCACCCGAGGTCGTCGCCGCCGCGGGGGAGGGCGCCGCCGCCGGATCCGCGTTGAAGGAGTACGGGGGAGTCGCCGGCGACGACAGAGGGAGGTAGAGGCGGCAGATCCAGGCGAGCGGCCGCTCCCGCCCGCCGCCGCCTCGCGCCGCGCCGCCCTCGGCCGCCGCTGTTAGTGATATGCCCTAGAGGCAATCATAGAGATGATTGTATCACATACTATGTTTACATATTTATCCGACATTGTTCCTTGAAATAGATAACTCCTTATTGGTTAATGAATATGTGATTCTTTCATGAGACTCTTTATGTTGTTTTGTTACTATTTCTAAAGGATCCCTGATCAAATATCATATGTGGAACAAATATGTTTATATGATCAGCACATGTATTAATTGATGATCATGTCTCATGGATCATGGTATAGAGATACCAAATTAATAATGTGGACACATGTTGGTGAACATGTTGTTCGATAGACCCAACATGAGACACTGCAAGAGCCATATGTGTTGTGTCATCAGTGATCTCATTTAGTGTTGGTGTTGAATCTTTAGACCTGAGATTATCATGGTTCTCAACATGTGTAGTAGCTTACTTAGGGACTGCTAAACGCTACTCCGTAAATGGGTAGCTATAAAAGTAGTTTTCGGGTATGCTATGAAACATATAGTGGGATATGAATAATCAAGATGGGATTTGCCCCTCCTATGGAGAGATATCTCTGGGCCCCTCGATGTTGTAGATTATGAAAGTGCATGGCCATGCCAAAGGTGATTGAGGAGTCAATCACAAGTTATATAATCTATCAACAGGTTCGAGTGAATGATTGAGCTATTAGAGGATGACACATATCTAGCCTTGAGCTTAATCGATATCGTGAGGCAAAGGGGTTCATACAAGTATACACTAGAGGTTCAGCCGATATGATCTTTATGTATGCCAGGTGGGTCAATACGTTCTGCTAGGGGCCGCTGTTGACGCGTGGACCGAAAAGGAGTTTTCGGGTTACAGCTGAGTATATATGAACCTATAGGGTCGCACGCTTAATGGGCCGGAATAAGGGGATTGGATAGAGATCCAATATGAGCTTAATTCGGATAGGGATCCGAATAGGAGTCCTACGGGCCTTGGAGGCCCGAGTGATGGATCCTATATATTCGTGAGGGGCATGACCGGCGGAGGCATAACATCACGTGAGAAACCCTAGCCGTCACTTCCCTCCCCGAGCAAAACCCTAGCTGCGCACGGGTGCTAGCACATCTGCGCGTGGCGTTCCGTCCCTGTACGTGTGGATACCGGTAGAGGCGCCACTTGTTTGCGGTGTTGATCGGCGTGGGAGTATGGCGAGGAGAACGCACGAGGAGGAGAAGGTCGAGCCGGTGCGATCGACTACTTCCTCTACATCGACGCGCGCTACTTCGCGAGAGTTCCTTCGACTTCTCAGCGTCTTCTTCCGCTGCACAGCGCGTCGAATAGTAATGATCT